GAGGCAGAGTATGTGGGATTATTATTACTCTTGATAAATAAATAAAAATTAATAAGGCCATTTTTTGTTGGGACTGGTTTAGCATTAGATTTCAATTGGTAAACTCTAGAGTCTAAAGATAGAGAGAGATTTTTAACTTATTTTCATCTTGTTATTTTCAATCCATTCACTCTTCTTCTTTTTTTCTTTTTTTTTTTAACTTAAATTCCTAAATCTGTATAACGTTCACAATAAAGTTTACTTACAAGTTAATAAATTATCATATGTAATTGGAGTTGCACTTCTGAAATAATTGAATTTCTGTTTGTTTCAATTGTTCAAATCCTAAGGCAACCAGTTTTTTCATATGAAATTCCAAAAGCTAGTCATTAAATATGAGTACAGTAAATAGGCATCAACTTTACGACATAAATTTGACTTTTAGTCCATTATTAACTTTGAATTATATGCAACTTACATGTAAAACAAAATATGAACACATTTGGATCTCAAGTTTGTTCGTGAATCCCAAATGTGAATGAACTTTGAAGTTAACCACACAATCTGTGCGCGCGCATGTCTATATAATATATATACTATATTATACACACAAACAGACACAATTGGATCTAAAGTTTGTATGTAAAATTTAAATTTTTTTATCTGAAACTTCTCGATAAAATCTAAAAATGAATTAATTTTGTAGTTAATTTCAAATTCAGTGTGTGTGTGCATGTGTATTTTTTTCGATTAAGTAAATACTCACACACATTAATAATTTTTGTTATAGTTTTCAAAAACTCTCCCTTTAAAAAAAAAAGAAATTTGTACCATAGGACTAATTACCATACATGTTTGGCTATATTTCAAATGACTTCATTCAAACTTTAAAATAGAAGAAATAATAATAATAATACTTAAATGGGTACGTAGTTAGGTACTTCAATCACCAACCACAAGAAAACAACTTGTGATTGTCAATAATGATTGAACTATTGAATAAAATGGGTGGAAATCATATTTTGTTATACTTAGGGTTTATGATTACTCATCTTTGTCATCTCTCAATAACCATGCACGCTGATAATGACAGGAGTATCTATTTAGTCTTTTGTTTGAAGGAACTGATCAGCTACAGTCTCACATCCTTGCTGGCCTGCTCATAAAAAGCTAGGGTTTCTCTCTCCACCCTTTTCACTCCTCTTTATATATCCTCCCTTTCACCTACAGTACTATCATGTGACATTACTATATATTATATATATGTGTGTGTGTATATATAAAAATATTATAAAATGTGAGGGGTTTGATAATTTGATTCTCTACCAAAAAGAAGCCATTTGAGTGAGACAGAGTGTTTTTTAGGATGTACTTACCTAATTAGAGTAAGTGTTTGTTTAGTATATGTTTGTTGGGGACTTTACACCCACCTAGATAATAGGTAATAATATTTGGTAAGACCGATGATGCATACATACACATTTAAACCTTATTTTTTCATGAGCCAACGACCTTCCTCTAGGCACCACTGCCTACCACATCTAGGAAAAGATGCTCCAACAATAGCCTCCAACATGTGAGATACACTTTTCACACTAGAAATGGAACTAAAAGATATATTTCCATATTGCAGAATATATCGGTGATTTTTTTTTTGGCTTGGTGATTTGGGAAAGAAATTTTCGATAAGACCATAGTTGTTCCATACAAAATTAAGACCTGTATGATTTAGCTCTGTATTGAAATTAATATAGATATTTTTTTTTTATATTGATGCAAATAATATGATTTAGCTCTGTATTGAAATTAAAATTGGTAATGAAAGAAATTTTGATATTTAAGCATTAGGGGAAAATAAAAGGAATAAAGTTCGTGACAAAAATGAATGTAAGAAGTATGAACAAACTGCTTTTTTTTTTTTATCTACTTTTTCAATGATCTATTTTGAATGTTAATTTATTTGGATAAGGTTAAAAGGAATATAGAGAAAATGAACATAAGAACAGGTGATTCTTTATAAACCTTTTTTTCTCTTATGGAGGTTCTTAACTTATCATACTAATGTGCATTATGTGTAATTAACAGCCAAGACGATGAGTTTGACAAGATTTGATACTTATGGATTAGTTCAAAGACCCATATAAACCCATTATGATTAAAACACATCCATTTGATATATTCTAAGATGCTTCAATATTTCAGCAAGAATGTAGAAAGCCAAAAATATATACATATAAACCGTGAGTGAAATCCATTTTATCTATGGAAATAATCTGTGTATAGTGTTTGCAATTAACAGTTTCGTTCACCATGCGATTTATCTTCAATTTTAAATTCAGATTTTTTTTTTTTTTTTTTTTCCTGCCTATCAAATTAACATTCTCTTTTTATAAGTTTTTGGACTTAGCAAAAGAAACAAAATTCATAGTTGGACCTTTTCGTTTTGCAGCAGACGATAAACCATAGGAAAAATGGCCCATTTCACTTTGGGCTAATGAGCTTAAAATTTGGGCCTGTTTCAGATACAATGGGCCTGTTATACCTAGGATACGACCTCTCTCTCATAAAACTCTCTAGTCTTTTAACTCAAACACATTCAAGAGAAACACAAAATTTACGACTCGCTAATTTTATCAACAGTTAATGCTCTACTTTTGTTTTCACATCTTTAATAATTTGTTTTTTCTGCTCTAGGATTTTGCTCCAAGGGACAATATAGGAATTTGATTGTCTTTAATAGTGAGATTATTGTTGCTCTTGATAATAAATAAGGCCATTTTTTTTATGACTAGTTTAGTATTTGATTTCAATTGGTAAACTCTAAAGCTAGAGATATATTTTTAACTACTTATTAATTTCAATCCATCCATCCTCGTAAAATCTAAATCTTGGAGTTGCACTTCTGAAATAATTGAATTTTGTTTGTTTCAATTGTTCAAATCATTTATAAAAGCTAGTCATTACATAGTGCTACACTAAATAGCCTTCAACTTTATTGAGATAATTTCGACTTTCTTTAATATTGAGTTATATGTAACTCGCATGTAAAAGAACACACTTGGATCTGAAGTTTGTTGATAAAACCCAATTTTTTTTATTGTTTGTTGGCAAATTCCAAATATGAATGAACTGTGTGGGTGTGTTTTTTTTCATTTTCCTTTTTGCGAAGAAGTTATAGTTACTGGACTAATGACCAATATGACTTTCTTCAAATTCAAAAATTGAAATAAAAAATAAAAGAACAAAACATTTAAATGGGTAGTTGGGTACTTCTATCACTACCACAGAAAAACAACTTATGATTCGCCAATAATGATCCAACCATTGACTCTGTTAGATTATATTGTCTATTGTGTATATTAGGGTTAGGATCTATTTAATCCTAACCATAATATATAGCTAAACCTAACCTTAATATATAATAGACAATATAATCTAGTATTTAACCCTAACCCTAATATACAATAAACAATATAATTTAGGGTGAATTACATTAAATCCTCTTTTTCTATCTGTGTTTTTCATTAAACCCCCTTTTTCTATTTTTTTTTCTCCAAAAAACCCCCTCAACTATTCAAAAGGGGTGATTTAACTAACAGAAGTTAGTTGAAAGAGAACTGAAATATAAATTGACTTAAATACACATTAAGCTTATTTGAAAATCTACTTTGCTTTCAATTTTTTTATTTATTAAATAACCTAAACGACATCATTCACAGAAATTAACACTTCTATTGTTTTTTTTTTTTTTTTTAACATTTTACTACACTGACAAGTTCACATTAGTCACATGGAAGGAATTTTTTTATTTTTTTATAGAAAAAAATGATATTGAATATAAAAAATAAAAAGAATAAGAATAAGAAAACATGTAGGCATAAATATTAATACAAAAAAAAAAAAAAAATTAGGCATTATTTCTCGTAGTGTGACTAGTGTCCCTTTAATAAATCTATATAAAATGAAAATCAATAAAAACCAAATAAATGAATGCACAATATAATTCTCAAATATATATATATATAGAAGATAAATTTCAAGAAAAAAACTTAAAATTATATTGGTCTGAAGGCTGGATGGAAACAAAAATATAGTATAAATAATATTTAATAGTACATATTATATATATACCATTATATTATGATACAAATTATATATAATATTATAATAATGGAAGAGTACATATTATTGCAATGGTAAAAGATATACGGCTAAGAGTGATAATGGAGTAGATATATATATGAGGGTATATTAAAATAGGTACAAGGACATTTTTGTCTAAAAAAATATATGAGAAACTAAATGTTCAAATAACTCCCTTTCGGCTAACTTTCATTAGTTAAATCACCCTTCTCGAATAGTTGAGAAAGATTTATTGACAAAAAAAAAAGAAAATGAAGGTTTAGTAAAAAATATAAATAGAAAAAGGGAATTTATACATTAGACAACATAATCTAACACAGTGAAAGAACTACATTCCCCCGCGCACATTTTGGAAATCCATCCTTTCTTGAAGGTGAAACATCACGTCTTGTCTTTTGAATTTGACTTTATATTATGTTTGGAAGCTCCAAAAGCATCCATTCAGTGTTCCAATGCATTGATTCAGTATTCCAATGCATTACTTAATACGGAGTATATAATTTTCCCAATTCTCTTTAACAATGGTAATCCCAGAGGAGTTTATATATACACAAATTGGACCAAATTTGTATATCCTCTTAATCCCACTTTAGTTGGGGAATCCCAACCTCAGCCACAAAAAGTGTACGCGACCTTGGTAGTGATGTTAGGGATCATTCCAATCTAGTGACCTCTGGGTACATAAGATTGTAAAGTAAATCCAAATATGTAATCATTTGCTAACCATTCCCAAATCCATTGTTGATAATCAATTATGTACAACTACAAAAATACAACCATCTCAATAACAAAAAAAAAAAAAAAAAGTATCCATTTCAATTCCAAAATTACATAGCTTTCAATCTCGATATTGAACAACCACCAAACTGTTTAGAGACTTCGTTTTTTTTTTTTTCCCCATAATTAAACTGTTTAGAGACTTTCACATAGCTATCAAACTCAGCCTCAAGATCACTACTTTAGGGCTAAATAAAATTGAGCTCGGCCAGCTTGTTCGACCAACTCGAGCTTGGATTTTCATATGGTTCCTATTATTCTTGAGGAAGCTTGCAAGTCAAGTACCTGAAATTATTGAATTGAGGAATTTAGTTAAAAAAAAAAAAAAATACACATGGGAAAAGAGAGGAACAAAAGAAGAAAAAAATATAGAAATTCTTTTTAAAATGTCATAAATTAATGAAACAAAAATTGATAAAAAATTTCCTCAGTCACTTCATATTTTGTTCTCCTTATTTCTTACAGTAACAAACGAGAATGATTTCCTTATTATTGTCTTTGTGTTTTTCTCTATATAATATGCAAAACAATTATTTACCCAATAAAAAGAATAACTAGAAGAGAGAGAGAAGCAAACAAACCTAATCAATGCATTAAAAAGTGATCATGTATAATTTATTTAAGATCCACGTCATCTAATCATTTTTTGTTGTTCATCTTCCAATTTGCATTTTTTATTTTAACCTTGGAAAGAAACTCATGTGTTTGGCCCTAAATGGGACTTAAACCCTCGACCTCCCACTTTAGGACTTTAGGAGGTAGAGCCTTTGGTAATTGGCATTGTTAATTGGCCTACTTTCTTCATTTTGAAAATAATGCGTAGACCATATAATCTAGAATCACTAATAACCTAAACCATAGATATTATTGTTCACAATTATGGATGGTAACGGGTCAGGAGACCCGCCCCCGTTTAGCAACCCTCATCCCCACCTCCCACACCCAAAACAGTTTATTAAATGAAGCAGGGCCGGGTTAGGAGATCCTTTTGTAATTGTAATAGTAGTAATGCAAAAGGATATCTAGTCATTGGAATAGGACACAACCTAAGATTTGCCTCATATTATTTAAGTGTGTAAATATCAAATTTCTGTCTATGTATTCACATGTTATACTATACACACACACAAACACACTAATTTATCTGAATGAAACAGTATCATTTGAACAATAGAACATAAAGGTAGTAGCCCTTCTGTTTGCACACATAAACTTGCACTCTTACAAATTCAAACTTGTCCAGATTACCATGAAGTTGCTGGTTTTGAACCCCTGCTTTTCTGGCTTTATAATATCCCTCCAAGCAATAAAATTTCCCTCACATGGTTACACTACTTCAGGAGATTGAGATAAGGATTCAAAATGTTTCTTAAATAAATTTTGCATTCTACCTTAATCAAAAAGTGGAAAGGCTTCAATACAACACTTATCTTGAAGAATCGTAGAAAACCATTATCACTTGAACCAGATGACTCCTCACTATCCTATCAAGGGAAGTGGAGAAAGCAACAACCATAGAGAATAATCACACAAGAACATATCGCATTTCATCGATTCAACTTCATAAAACAAGCTTGAAAAGTTTAAAACTCAAAAGGAATCCCAGGCGTCAATATCTTGCTAATGGTTGTAAGTTCATAATATGTGACCGGTACAAAACTATGAGCATCATAGTAACATCAGAAGTGGTATTTTTCTCTAGCACATGAAGCAACAATCAGGTCATAATTACTTGGAAAAAAAACAATCAGGTCATAATTTTCCAAATTAGAAAAATGAGCATGAAGGACAAAGTTTAAGAAATTATAAATAATTTTTCGCAAATCTCTACAATCACCATCCACCCAATACACGACATGTCCCTAATTATCACTAATTTGGTATTACTGATACAACTTGTCCATGTCCACACACTCCTACAAATCCCATCTCTAGTACTACACAAGTATGGACAACTATCAACTAGATATCCAACAACTACATCACCACAGAGCAGATGAAACTTTGCTCGTAAGCAACAAAATTAACAGTTAATCTAACAGAACTGCCAAAAACAAACGAAAAAGAGATGGTACAAAAAGCTTGAAGTTAAGAAATCACCGTCCTTTACCAAACAGAAATAACAGAACTTCTCACATAAAATCAATTCATTGCAGAATATTAAGACAAGAATGAAGTCAGAATCATACCTTAGAAAGGCAAGAATGATCATTTATACCCGCAAAAATCTCATTTGAGAGTGTCACACACATCTTAGGCCTCTCTTGACTGCTAATACAAACTTGTTTGGAGAAAATTTCTGCACACATTGGCCTTCTCCTTTAAATCTTTCCTTCATTTGACTTCCCACAGTTCTAGGAAACCCTGAACAGAAGTTGGGTTTCCCATTCCACAATACATGCAATGGTCGGATAGAAGAAGATAAAGCTAAGGGCCCATTCGAGAAGCGTGCAAGAAGTAACCTCCAATTGTCATTTGGCAGACCACATGTTGGCTAGAAATAGAGGAAAGTAGTTACTCTGGTTGAACATGACAAGAATTTTAAAAAAAAAAAAAAAAAAGGGAAGAGGTGACAACTAATTGCTTAGTCACCACTGAAGGTGTGTGTTGCTATTGTTCTTTTTTTAGAAAAAAAAAAGAGAAAAAAAGCCAAAGTATGTATTTCCATATAATATGGTGATATTAGTCTAGAAAAAACCACAAGAATCGTCAACATATATATTGCAAGGAGACAACTGTAACAATACTCCAAAGGATAAATCAAGAAAAGGACAACATATAGGGGAACTAAAAGAAACAAACACAGATGATTTATTTAAATTCTTACATTTGGTCGTGAAAACATTGCACGGACATCGCTCTGATTAGATCCACATTGTACAGGCTCTTCTGTGGAAGGAAACATTATAACCAAGACAATATTAATTTGGTATTTTCTATTCTAATTTTCTTTTCTTCTTTTTTTTCTAGAAAAACAATGAAATTGAGGTAAGATTAACAGTATTTATCTTCTTCTTCTTCTTTTTTTCTTTTTTTGCCGTGTAACATTAAGAGTTTGAAGAAGAAAAAATCAACTAATGACCTGATTGTCCTTTTTCTTCCTTAGAGGTGTCACTCGAGTGTTCCAAGACCAGCTTGGCCGGGCAACTGTTGCAATCAAAGTAGCATCATTAGTATGCTTAAGTTTTGAGGGTTTACCTTTTGTCTTCATTTTTTTTTTTCTTTTTTCTTTGAAGTGATCAGCAGGTCAGAAAAACAAAAACAAAAATAAATAGAATGCAAAAGTAAAAAACCAGTCAACTATCTTGCTCAAATTATAGAATCGGGGGGTTCAAATTGAGCCCAATTTTTTAAGCAGCCCACTAACTTCCAGGACAATCTGTTCTTTTGGCGCCTGCAAGGAAACAAACATCCACTATAATAAAGTTCTAACTTCTATCAAATGAATGCACAAAAATCATAGAAGAGAAGAAATTATCATATTACTAGTAACTTCTTTTGCTGCAAAACGAATGTGCAATGAAAATTAAAGGACCAGAAAGGAAGAAAAAAACATGGTCCCATCTACTCGTAAATCTGCAAGGGATCAAAGCACTGTATAGGATTATATGCATCACCAAACATATCGTAGATCTTCCCCCACATGAACCAACACAAAAGTATGAGAAACAATCACCATGACAACTTACATTAGTTCGCTCTGACTGAAGATATGTCTCTATAGCATCACCAGCCGTCTCAAAAATTTCAAGTAACTGTATTATGGATATCATTGCCGCCTTAAATTTCTTACATATTTGAAACAACATTTTTTCTTCATTTCTGCCCATTAATTTGTACTCATAACAAATAAGTATCGCGAGTTCATGTTTGACGCATTCACGTAATGTCATGTGTCCGGTTGAAGTGAAAAGATGAATGCCCTGAAATGTAATTTGATCCATAACCTTTTCCCGAGCTACCATTAGTAAAACAGTCAGCTCAATGAGTTTGCCGTCTTTGGCATAACACCGAACTACATCCTTGATCTTTTTTGTATTCAACGCAAGCAACCTACTAGTCTCCAATGCTTCTTTCTGGCAAACGTGCAAGTAAACCATACAGGAATGAGTAATCTTTGAAGTACTGATTTATGATTCAACTCACACATTTAAAAAATAAAATAATGCACACAATACGACCCACATATGATATTTTCGTCAAAGATGAACCATTTTAGGAAGGCAAAGTATGATGATCAGCTTGAAGATGGAATTCACAGGAGTCCATTCAGTGAAAGAGCTACATAGGGATTGAAAAGAAAAGATGAGAAGTGAAACATAATGAAACAATGAAAGAATATATATTGGGCTTGCTTGGTTTGTCACTCAAAAAACAATTCTCAAAATTTTCGAAAATTAAAAACTATTTTTAGAGAACTATAAAAGAGAACAAGCCTTTATTTTTAACTGAGTTCTCAAAAATAAAAATAAAAATCAGAAACCACAACCAAGCAGATTTTTGTACAATTTTCTATTTTCAATTCTCATAAAACATAAAACTATTTGCAGAACACTAAACCAATCAGACGATTTTATCAATTCACTACACAAAAGAACCAAGAAAATACAATACAATGTACAATAATTAAGTCATACCTAACTCTTTCAAGTGCTATATGAAGAGGGAGCAGCCCATTGTGCTCCGAGTCGCCAGCATTACATCGGACATCAGCCAGAGCTCCGTGGTGAAGGAATAACTCAATCAAGGCGGGAGATAATGTAGAAGCTGCTACATGCAGCGGGAAAGCTCCACCGTTGATAGGAATGTTAAGATCCACTTCCAGGCCCATCTTTCCCGCCTTCACCAATTCAGTGGCACATAGTATTGCACGGTGATGGCATATCCATGCCAAAAGCTTGTAAGGAGATGATTCAAATTTACCAAACTTAAGTATAACCGAGTCACCTGAATTTATCACCACAGACTCATTCAAAAAGCTAAAGAATTCGTCCCTATCATCTCTGGCAATAATTTTTTTGATATGATCTTCATCTTTGGAGATACGAGAAGAATTCCAATCCTATCATTGTTAGAACAATATCACCATCAAGAAACAGCACAAAATGACAGGAACAAACATTTTCAAAAATAAAAGTAATCAATTAACGAAAACACAACCAATTAGAAAAGAGGATAAAAACATGAGCATGGAAATATATATATATATATATATATATATATATATAGGTTACAACAAGATACCTATGAAATAAAATTCATTACACATACACAGTTTTGAATAACTCGTAAAACAAAAAACCTCTTCCATAGTTCTATGAAAAGGGGCTTTTTTAAAAACGATTTTGGGTAATCAAACAGACTTTTTGTTTATTTGTTTTTTTTTTTTTTTAATTCTTTAAAGACAAAAAAATTATTTTCAGAGTGAAAAACCAAGCAAATCCTAAATTTTGTCTCTGTCATTTTCTCTATATTGTTATTTAAACAACTTTATTACCTTTAGAAAAAGAATAATAATAATAATAATAATAATAATAACAATAACAACAACTAGAATAAGTGAAGTTTAAATGCAAACCTCAACTTTCTTGAACAAACTTCCTACGGCACTGAGAGCAGACGCCATTTTTATCCGAAATCAGCAAGAATAAAAAAGCGCGAATATTTATATAATTGACCACTGTGGAAAAGAGTCGCACGCATAAATGAGAGAGAGAGAGAGGACTGTGTACGTGAGTTGCAGGGCGATTAAGGGCATTGTAGCCGCCAGCGTGATGCGTCACTGGGCTTGCAGTTTTTGTGGCCTATATGACAGTTGGGCTTGTAAACGGGCTTGGGCTGCTTTCATTTAAAAGGAATGTAATGGATCGATTGTTTTAGGCTTTATATTTAGGATTAATTACAATGACACCTCCTGAGATTTATCATAATGACAGTCATATACAAGTTGGGTTTTTTTTGAACAATGACATCCACTGTTAGAAATTGAATCCAAACAAGCCCTTAAAAGATGTGAAAAATTAAGATTGCCTTTCAATATTTTATTAATTTAAATTAAAAAATAATCAAAACTCACAAATGACGTTTTTGCCCTTGGTTTGTCATCAGTATACGTCACTACTCCCTCTAACCTCTCACCTTCTCCATCAGAAACCCTAAATCCTAACCTAACAAACCCACCACCACAGCAGAAAAAACAGAGCAATGATCTCTCAAATCCTAACCTTAACAAACCCACCACCACCACAAAAAAAATAGAGAAACGAAGAACATGGCCTCTTAAATCTTAACCCTAACAAACCCACCACTACCACAACAGAAACAAACAGAGCAACAAATAACCAAAATCTCTCAAACCCTAACAAACCCAACCCACGCTCCCTTCCGTCATCGTTGAACCCTCGGATCCTGCCGCCGCCACCACCAAAAAATTCGTCATCGTTGAACCTTCGGATCCCCCCGCCGCCGCCGCCAAAAAATCCGTCGTTGTTGAACCCTCGGATCCCGCCACCGCCAAAAAATCTGCGTCGTTTAACACTTCCTCTCCCTGATACTTGACCAGAAACTGGTGCAGCTGATACACCAACATGTGGGACCCCTTATCGGTGTACTTCATGAACGCCGCTTTCACGTCCGGGGTGGCTCCACCTCGGTTATCTAAAATTTCCGGTTGAACCCAAACACCTTGAACCCCTCCATTTTCACCAATTCTTAAACTATTTCACCAATTATATATATATATATATATATATATATATATATATATATATATATATATATATATACACAGGGGTTCAACTAACTGTGTATACAAGGGTTTAACTAACTAGGATTCAAGGAAATGGGTGGGTTGATTGCTGAAATCATTGTGAAAATAGTTTGATTTAGGGTTTGAATTTAGACGCATCAAATTGGGCGTCGGCCACCGTCAAAGTCTAGGACCTTATATATATATATTGAAGATTTGGTGTTTGAAATTGATGGTATGTGTGTGTATATATGTATAAATATATGTGAGTGTATGTTGAAAATTTGGGTTTTGAATAGTGAAGTGGTGGTGATGGTGAGTGCGACATTCACTGCAACAGATATTGATTAGATGATAGAGGTGGTGTGGTAATGGATTGTATTGAAATTTTTGAGTTTGGTTTTTATTTTTTTATACAAGGTTAGAAGGGTAATTTTATTATTTAAATTGATAATTCAAAAGGGCAACAATGTAAATTCCTTAAGTGGCAGAGGTGGCAGGTGATAGTTGGAAGGCCTTTGTTAACTTTATTAGACTTTAGGGGGTGTCATTGTTCAAAAAAAGCCCAATTTATATATAACTGTCATTAAAACAAACCTCAAGGGTGTCATTGTAATTAACCCTTATATTTAAAGCGCAAACTTATTTACATCAATTAGTATAAAATATCAGTTCAAAATGAGTAGATTATCTAGCTTTGTTTAGTACCGAATTTGTGAATTAAAAAGCACTACTATAGGTTGATTGAGCTCGGTTAGTTTAATACTAAAGTTTGAAAATTATGTTCTATCATCTCGGTTATTAAATAAATAAACACGAACCAACTTTTTATCAAATCTAACTTGTATTGTTAACGAACACTTATTTACAATCCTGACTTTGGCGCATAGCTTGGCTTATGCTTTTAAGCAACATAAGAAAATAGCAAAATTTATATTTTGTTATTTGAAAACTATATTTTAAAAGAATTTTTAATTTTTATTTATTTAATAGAACATGACATTTATTTATTAAGCTCCTGCAGTAACTATTTTACTATCAGGTATTACACACCATATTAAATAACCATTCAACAATATGAACTTACGAACCCTCATGGGCATAGCGGCTTTGGCAATTGTAATAAGGGTCATTTGTTCCACATTGAATCTGAATGGGAAAGTGATTGGGTATAAATGGGTGGGTATTACCCAATAATTTGAGCTTTTGGGTAAATGGGCAAGTATCCACCCATTATAGTTGGTATCAGAGTCAGACCCAGTCCTTAATTCGATGCCAAACCAAGTGCCCCACCCAGACACCTCCTTAATTCGATACCAAGCCAAGCGCCCCGCCCAAAAGGCGTTCGGATAACGAGGGCGTTGCGAGTTTGGGTGGGAGAAAATGTAATAAGGATTATTTGTCCTACATCGGATTCAGATGGAAATAGTTTGAACTTTTGAGTAAATGAGCAAATGTCTACCTGTTATAATAGGGATTTATGATGTATCTCCTTGAGGTCTCTTTCGAACAGCACTCCTAGCTTAAATAGTGTGTTTATTAAAAAGTCAATACACGGTGCACCATGTGTAAAAACAATATAATTTTGTCAAACCTAGGGACAAACTTAATTTAATTTGGCATGCAAAGTAGTAAATTAAAAGAAGAAGAAAAAAAATTTATTACACAACTTTTTTTCTAATTTAACTTTTCAGCCTTCAAAAACTCTAAATATTTGGTGCATTCACCATAGCATTAATTGTATATATTTTTTTTGCATTTTCTATATAATATGTTCCATTGCCATCAGTATCCTCGTTGTAATATTGGAGCATTATTAAAAACAAAACTTGCATATTCATAATGTATGATGTATATCATATACATGAAAATGATGAAATTAATAAAAAACTCATCCAGTAATTTAAATAAGTAGGTGATATTCGCACTCCACTTTTTTATAATTGATACTCAACTATTTTTTTTCTTCTTTAAAATACACGGACAAAACAACATTACTAATTTTGAATGTTATATGTATAATTTGAGATTAAGTTTAGGGTAAAGTGCAAAAACTCCCTCTCAACTATGTATAAATTTGCAAATAATCCCCCTTAACTATGTTTTATACATAAAATCCCCCTAAACTATCACATTTAGTTGCAAAATGCCCAATTGTCTTACCTTTTTCATTAGTACTATTTCTTATTGAATTACACTTGATATATTTTTCTTGTTGAAATAAATTATGAAAAAATTCATACTAATGTGATGAAATATTCTCTATTAAATTTGCATAAGTTTGCCTTTAATTTTTTTAATTAATTATTTAAATAAAAATCTTAAATAGAAAATTTTGAAACAATTTAAGTAATCTTTTAATTTTTATGAATATATTTCATTAAAAAGAAGATATTTTCTATTTACATTATTAATTTTTCATGAATATTGTTTGGAAAATAAGATATATTTTTATACTAATTTTTTTTTAAAGTGAGTATAATAAGTTTTATTATAATAAGTTAATCATTTTAGAAAATGATAGCTACAAATCTATTTTTTTTTTTCATTTTTATAATCAATTGATACTAATTATAAAATTAAGGTAAATGATATAATTAATATTTAAATAAGAAAAAATATTTAAAAAAATAATTTAATAATAAAGGGTAAAATAGTCTTTTGTGATGAATTTATTCTTAATTACAACAAATTAATAATTTAGAGGGGCAATCTTTAGTTTAAAGGACTAGTTGCAAAAAGCCAATAATTGACACCTTAGAGCATGCTAAAAGCTATTTTCGGATACCAAATATATATTTTGACAGGTGCTATAGTGTCAAAATGCCACATTTTAATAATTATGCTCTAATGGTGCATTTTATGCAAAATACTATTTTTTGACACAACTACCATTCTTTTTCAATTATCATTCCCACCATTCACGTTTGCATTAGTAATATTAATATTAGGCACATTCCAAGTCAAATTATAGACATTAGAAGGAAACTAAAATTAAGCTTAATTAAAAAGAAGCAAAAATCTAAAATATATAGTCAAAAAAAAAAAAAAAAACAAATTTTTTATAATTTTTTACCACTATTTGTGAATTAATTTTTTTATATAATTTTTTTTCTTTTTTGGAAATTTATATATTATATATATGTGTGTATATTATATATATTTGATTGTATTATTATTAAAAATATATATATTTTTATAGCAAATCATTTCAGCCTCCCCAATCGCCCCATCTCTATTCTCGTTCTCAACTCTGAGAACTTGCCCTCTCCCTCTCTCTCTCTCTCCAACTGCAAACTACAAAATCTACAAGAATCAGAAGTTCAAAATCCATATATTTCAGTTTATCTATCTGTGTGCAAAAATCCAAAATTCAAAACCTATTACCTATATCAAAATCCATATCGGCGTATCATTTTAGATTGTTTAAAAAATCAAAACCCATATCTTTCAGTTTCCATCGCCCGCTGTTCCAGTTCGAGTTCGCCGTTCGCAAGCTTCAGCCGCTGTCTTTCAACTCTCAAGCTTGCCTCCCTCTCTCTGTGTGCAACTGCTAATCAAAGTCTGTAGGGGAAGAGAAAATACAAAATTTGATAACAAAAGCAAGAGGCGGTGTTCGTCGCCTTTAAGTGCCGGTCGCCGTCGATAATGACCGGTCGTTGCAGATGAATGAGAGATAGAGACGATCGTTGCAGATGGATGAGAGAGAGACGGTTGTTGCAAATGGATAAGAGCAAGATAGAGATGGCAGGGCAACAAAATATAGAAATAGCTATTACTATTTATTTTGTTAAATTTGACACAAAAAAATAGCAAATGTAAATTTTGATAGCCTAACAGCCCATTGAAAAGCTTAATTTTAATTCACTTGTTATATTTTGAATTGCTAGCCAGCCCCATTGAAGATGCTCTAAGTTTATGGCACTTTCAAGCAATGTAAAACCTCTGGTTGGTCAGCTTTAAAGTGGTGTGATTCTCAGTTGTGCAACTTTTGTCGTGACTTATTAGGAGCATTTTAGACCCGATTAGGAGCTTTGATCCTAACATCTAAAATAATTTTTGAACAAAAAAATAAAAAATCTTAAAGAACCTCATGTGTGTGTGTATATATTTTAATATTATAAATTTTGTGGTATTAATAAATCAGATTTTTATCCAAATTTGAGCAAATAATTAAGATATTGATCCGACAATTTCATAATTCATTATTAATTCAAATATGATAATTAGTTAGATAAATAAATCAGATATGAATTATGATACATAATTCGATTCAAAATATGTTATAAATATATTACCTAATGTTATAATATCTAATATTAATACATTATTAAAATATTCTTTATCGTTATTTTTTTCTTCTCCTCCTATAGTTTTATTTTGTCTTTCTTTATTATGGAGTATTATTTTTTCATTTATAAAAAGTCAAATAATTAGTTTTCAACTATTTTTTGTTCATATTTTATTTTTCTTCATACACTTCAGTTTAAGTAATCAGCTTAATAATCATTTTTCTTTTCTTAATCAATTAGAAAGAAAAAGTAGACCAAGTTTTCGAATTGAATATATGATTAATAACAAATTGGATATAGATTCAATTCAAAAATATTGTCAAATTGAATATTTGATTTAAATCAAATCAAACATGATCTGTTTATACGTAATCAAATTAGACATGATCCGATTCGTTTAGACGAATTTAGATTGTTGACCTTCACTCTTTTTGCTCTATCATTTTTATTTATTTATTTTATATATGGAATTCACTCAATTCTCCGAAATATATATATATATACATACATATATAATGAATATATAAAAAAATTAATTTTTTCCACCTTTATTGTACTTTTACTACTATATAAAATGAAAATAATGACGAATTGTCTTGTACTTATCCAACTCAAACGTCCATATGCTAAAATGAAGGATATGATGGTCAATAATCTATCCGATTGGGTAAAAGTACCAAATAATTCCTCCAGTAAGGGCTAAAATACAAAATAAAATAAGAACAAAATTCCCAAATTAAATCAAGAGATATAAAACCCTAATATCCTCCTCCATTGGGCTTCTAGGGTTTCTGCTGGGATATAGGCGAAACAGGGCGGCAGCGAAACCATCCACAACGACGTCATCATGGGTCGGATGCATAGTCGAGGGTATGTTCTTTGACTAATGATTTATTGATTCCGTGCATGTACACACTCACATACATACACACATGCGGGTGTTTGATCCATCGTCAATCTTCTAAATTTATGTAAATTTTGTATGCGTTTTTTGGGTTACAGTAAGGGCATATCAGCTTCAGCTCTGCCATACAAGAGGACTCCGCCAAGTTGGCTGAAGATTTCATCTCAGGATGTATTACTCTCACTTTTTATTTATTTATTGAATAATACTCTTACGTACACTGTGTTTGTTTGGTGTTAATGCTATCTTTAGTTGATGAAAAACTTAATAATGGAATTTGATTTTAGTTATTTTCTATGCGGTGGTTTCTTAATTTTGGTAAAAGAGAAAAGATCTACAGTACGATCCATGTTGATTATGGATTCAGGAAAACAAAGGGATGTTTGGATTTCCAATAATTGTCCCATTGTGCATTATATAAAGTTTTGTGTACACATTTTTTGCCGTAAATGGTTCTATTTTTTAAAATGGGAACCATTGTTGATGCTGATGGGAAAGCTTTGGAATGGTGGCTTTGCATAAAATTTATGAAATGTACCCATGTAGCTGTGAATTTTTTTACAAGTTTCGTGCTGAGTAATGGAGATTTGCCTTCAGATGCTATATAAAATTTGATTGAAAGTTTATGGGACAAAGAACGAGTTCATAATCAACTTTGTTTACTATGTTTAGTTATTTGGCTGACCAACTTGAAATTTCTGTTCTCTTTAGAATGGAACTACGTAAATGCTTGGCTTTTGCTCAGCTTTATGCAATTTAATGCTTCCTCAGTGATTTTCTTTTTCAAGTGGAATTCTATTTGTGTTCGTTATGTTTAATTGTACATGTAGTATTGTTATGCATATTGATTGAGCCATACAATCTGAAGCTGTTCCTTTTGTTTGATTACCATTCTATGGGAGGTCCATGTAAAAAAAATGTGCATTATATAAAAGTATTTGTCAATGAGTCTGAGTTAAAGTTTTATGTTTTCCTATACAAGTATGTATATCTAGATGTGTGTATACTCAATAGCATCATTGTTACTTTGAATTAACTAGTGTTTTGACATTTAATAGCATATCAAGAGGTAAAATTTCAAACCATTCAGCTCAGGACAATGACTCACAGTGGAATTCACATCATGTAAAGGCCAAATGGGCCTAGAAAACATCTTTTTTAATATACAAGTCATTGAATCAAGCCATTTAATGAACACAACCCAAATTTTCTGAGAAACAGTAGGAATTTTACTTCTCAATCCATCCATTTTCCATTCCATCTCTATTTTCTTCTTCTCACCTCTTCCAATCTCCCTCTTCATCTCTCACTTCCTTATTCACCATTTTCCTGAAATACCCTCCTCAACACTTCAAATCACATTTTCCTTGAAATGCATGGAACGCCATCTCAATTCATATCATTCTTGATAATATATAAAATATCACCCATAACAAGTCAATCATTCCCTTACTGGAAAAAAACAAGTCAATAATTCTTGATGTCACCATGGTGGTGTTCAAGCGATGGTATTGATTTGTTGTAACCTATTTACAACTTCTTCCATGGAGGCCGTCCATACGGGTCAAGAATTAGTGCTGCAGATTGTGCTGGGACTGGTGGATGGTACTGATTATGCAAATTGGGGTCCATCATTTCCCTAGCCCTTTCTCAAATTGCGTGGGAAAGGCTTGGTCCAGTCCACCAAATTTTGCTCCCCAATATGCCGACTATCATTGAGCACTCTCTTGCCCGTCAATATTTCAAGCAACACGACTCCGAACCGTAGACAATCGCTTCTGTTATATAAGTGACCTAACCAATTCAAGGGCGTAATTAAGTATTGCCATATTCAATTTAACTTAACCATGTACCATTTATTAAAATAGCATCAAAATCTTTTCTAGTGCCCACGGGATGATTCTGTGCACTTTAAATCGAGAACATGCCACACTACATTAAAGGTGCAACGACGATGTAAGCATTCATGCAATATATTACTTTAAAGATCCAAAATGACAACAATGAATTCCAAAATGACAACAATGAATTACAACAACATTACATCATTGTTGCACCATCGACTTAACTTAATAATAATGGTTTCTCTGATATAATTGCATTGTAAAATGCAAATAAACCATGTATTCAAGACTGACCATAACAAAGAGATAGAGATCGAGAGAGGACAGATTGTGCAACTATTACCCTTGGCCATGTACTCGGGAGCAGCATAGCTGTTAGTGCCGTAAACCTCTGTTGTCAAATGTGAGGCGCTGTTTAGTAATTATTTAGCAAAATTACCCCATCAAGCAAAATGTTAGCCTCCTTGAAGTCCCGGTATATCACACAATTCTCAGTTGTGTGCAAAAAATGAAGTCCCCGCGCTGCTCCTATGGCTATTTTAAGCCTTCTTTTCCATGATAGAGGCTCTCTACCCTGTGCATGGCTATGTCACTTGATTCCCCAACTATTATTGTTTGAGACGATAACTTCATGAGTTTAATACTATTTATTTTGTGTGTTTTATTGTGATTTTCTGGTTTTATCCTTGGTTAATGATTTTCTTTTGTCTTTCAGGTTGACGAAAACATCTGCAAGTTTGCCAAGAAGGGTATGACGCCTTCTCAAATTGGTGTTATTCTTCGTGATTCTCATGGGATTGCTCAGGTGAAGAGTGTCACTGGAAGCAAGATTCTGCGGATACTCAAGGCCCATGGTAAACTATATATCATATGCTGTTGTTGTTAGTCCTCTATTGGTGTATTAAATAGATATAGTGAATTAGTTATTGGGTTTCTCATAACTGGACAGGGCTTGCTCCTGAAATACCTGAGGACCTATACCATCTCATTAAGAAAGCAGTTGCAATCCGGAAGCATCTGGAGAGAAACAGGAAGGACAAGGATTCAAAGTTTAGGTTGATCCTTGTGGAGAGCAGGATCCACAGACTTGCACGCTACTACAAGAAGACAAAGAAGCTTCCACCTGTCTGGAAATAGTAAGTTCTCAGACATTTTTGTTTGTTTTGTTCCAACTTTGAAATACTTTAAGATCTTAAAACACTAAATTTATCGATGGTGTGAATGATGAATGCAACTAACGGTCTGTCTATAACAGTTGCATAAATAAACTTCCAACTTAAGATTTACAGTACTGGTTGATACATAATGTATTTTGAAATATGTAATCATAATGTTGTTGATGTTTCTGATTAGAGAGTCTGTTTTGGTATGTCATATAAATTTAATCTTTTACTTGGACACTCGGGTTCATTTTTTATGCATCAATTAAGTTTGAAGAAAATCTGAACTAACAAATTCATTTTGCATGCACCTACTAGATTTGAAAGGAATATGAACTCACACATTTCCCATGGCTTGGCTCTATAAGAGACAAATTTGGTCATGTTTAAGAAATGGTAAATTTGTTGGGATTTGGTCCTCACTCTAAGCATGCTAGTGTTGTCTTTCCCTGTTGGGTTGGCATGCCTATCTGCCCTTAAATTTGGCGGTATTTTTATTAAGAGGATTGGTCGTCCTGCAAGGTAACTGCCATAATTGTCTCCGACTAATATAGGCATTTGATATGAATTCGAGTTGCCACTCAACATTTATAATTTTAAGCACTTAAATTGCATGTTACTGCAGTTGTTTGGGATTTGTATGTCCATGCAACATGAATTCATACTGTTTATCAAATATGATGTGTATAGATGTGCCACTTAGAAATTATGGTGTTTTGGGAATGTGATTCCATCTCCCTGTCATTAAGTTTTGGTGGGTTATCTTTCTGTTGGCTGATGGTTACATTGAGCTTAGGTTTTCTGGTATCCCTTCATTGGTGATTCAACTAGAGTTTTGTCTCTCTAACAAGGAATAGGTTCATCATATGATTAGACGACTAGTTATGCCTATCATTGAACCATGGTTTGGAGAAGTTGCTATTGACATGTACATGCCCTTGCTCCTGAGTACACTAGCCTTGTTTTGCCCCATTATGCCATTGAACCATGGTTTGGAGAAGTTGCTATTGATATGTGCATCCCCTTGCTCCTGAGTGTGCTAACCTTATTATGTCCCATGCTTGCACCTGCAACTAATTATTACTTCAGTGCACATGGAATAACATCATGTATACATTGGCAGAAAGATATATTTTTTTTCCATGTATAATGTGTGGCCTTCCCATTTAATTATCATAAGGATGGCTGCTTTGAGACAGTTTCCATGGTCTAAGCAGACGCAATAAAATGATGTTTGATGAGGTCTCTTATTATTGAGTCTGGTACATGTATCCTATGCTCCATTTTTCGAAAACACAGCTGTCAAATTTTGGTTTTGTGTACCATGCTCACTTTAATTTATTGCATTAGTTGAAATGTGGTATATAAGATTTGAAGGGAGATCATAAATTTTGAGTATTTTTTGATGCCTTCCTGTTATGATTCTGCAACTTGAAAGCAGCACATTATGTTGTCATTGCATTATTTCAAATTCCCAATGTTGCTCTATTTATTTGCATGCTCAGTATAAATTGCTTCTTATAATGTGTGGGTTTGTGTCATACCATGCTCGTGTCTTGCTCCTAGATTCAAACAGAATTTGGCATCTTAGTGCTGCTTGCGCCTTTAATAACTATGTTACTGTCTGATCCAATATTCAGATTAGCTATCCAAATTTAGTGAAGATCTGATGACCAAAGGGCATCAAGCCCAATGTTATAACCTTCCCATGTGTGAGTGGGTTTCTTGTCCATGTAAAAAGAAAAAGTGAATAGTGATATCAACTGCTGATACTACTAACTTCGCGTATATTGATGCCTTAAGAGTTATTTGTGTTGCTACATTTAAGAATCTGTTGCAACATATCACTGGATATTACTTTCTTTTCTATAGGTAGTCTTACTAGACAGACAGAGAGATGTGGAAGGGATTTGTGATGTATGGTATATGTGCATAGTGCACACCTACATCCACTAGTATTTTTGTATACCATAGCTTTGTAGCTGGATAGAGCATTTTTCATAGCTTTGTAGTTGGTAAGAGAATGTTGAAATTATGACCTGAATAAAAAATACCTATTGAGCAGTTGTAAAATTGCAAGTACAAAGCTTTCTCCATGGCGCCAACTTCTTTGGGTGCTGATTGTTCCCGCTCGGTTTGTTAAACAAAGACCATTAATTATTTATGTTAAAAAGGAAATTTTATTGTTTGTGTGTGCCTCCAATACTAACTTTATTATTTCTGCTTGCAGTGAATCTACCACAGCCAGCACTCTTGTGGCGTAAGAAAGAATCTACCTTTGGCAACTGAAGTCTTTTTTGTACTCCGAATATTTCTTGGTGAAGAGAATGACAGTTATCCACATCGTTGTTGCACTTTTGCTTTATTTTTAATTAAGTAGGATCTTTTGAAGACCAGAGTTGTTCTTGAAAGAAGACAATGAATGTTTGATGTTTGAAGAGAATGACAGTTATCCACATCGTTGTTGCACTTGTGCTTTATTTTTAATTAAGTAGGATCTTTTGAAGACCAGAGTTATGTTCTTGAAAGAAAACAATGAATGTTTGATGTTTTGAATTTTTTTTTTATTTTTATTTTTTTGTTGTGCAATGCATTTTGACATTCATGACAATAATTTTTCATTTCAGTTGCCTCAGGTTTGATCAAAAGGTACATTTTTTACTCTTTTCAAGTGTTCAAACACATTATTCGCGGGGAGGAATTTCAGCATGAGATTTTAGTCTATAATCACAAGGACAACTATTTCAGAAACCCTCGTTTGGGGGATTTTTTAATGGGTACTCTTTTCGGTACCTATCGTTAGAATTTTCTGAAAGGTTTTCTCAATATTGCTATTCACAGAAAAAGGAGCAGGATATCAATGACTTTGGTCGAGTGGGATGGTTGATTTTGAGACCACTTTAATCCATAGAGTTGGATGTTCTAAAAATGGAAGTGGAATTAATGGAGCGTGTGATATTATTATATATATTGGGAGATATGATTTTTATTATATATATTGGGAGATATGATTTAACTGTTTTGGAATTTGCGTTTGCAATTGGATTATATGATTAATGTGGATTGTGGTGGTTGTTTCGAATTACTTGCTTGCATGAAATTGGTTTCTTTTTGGTTCGTACATTACATGAGCAACTAAATTTTACTTGGGACTGAATTAAATGCGTTAATTTTTACTTTAGTTGATGATATATATATATATATATATATATTCCCCTTGAAGTCATTATATATATATATTTTGGGTGACAATTTATTTTTACCATTCTTCTTTCAGAATTTCTTTACAGCAGTATTATTTTCTTACGAGTGTTCGTGATTTCTTTTCTTGTGTTAGATAATTTGAGATTTCATTTCCTTAAGGTTCTTTCAATGTTTTTCTTACCTAAATTATTTATTTCTGTCATTTTTTTTTCAAAAAAAAATGGCCCTCAAGTTTCTTTAATTTTTTAAATCAAAAGGGACATCAAATTTAATTTTTGAAGAACGATAACTTTATGCAAGCACCTTTAGTCATGTTTGCTTATTTTAATTTATAACATATTATACACACCGATTGTTATTTATTTTTACAAGCAATGATAATGAATAATAAATAATAATAATAATCACAAATACATGTTTGTTCATGGAAGTTGTTAAATTACCCAATTTTCTGTAGATGTGTGGATAAGTTAGTGGGTCAGTACTTCCGATAAATTTTGGAATACCACATTTACTAATATAATTTTTAACCCTTCTTACCTTATAAAAAAAAAAAAAAACTATCCAATTTACTCATAAATTTTGAAATATCACATTTATTAATCTAATTTCTAACCCTTCTTACCTTATAAAAAAAAAAAAAAAACTATCCAATTTACTCATAAAAGTTGTTAAACTATCCAATTTTTGCCTATGGTGGACATAGTTTCGGTTTGTTCATTTAAGTTTTGAGATAAATTAGGGTAACCGAGTACTCAATTATTTTAGAAGTATTGAAATTGAATTAAATCCAATCAAATTGTAAATAATTGGTTCGGTGGTCCCTTTTTTATTATGACTGAAAACGGTATGTATGATAAATTTTACTCTGTATTATCTTTTTAGATCTCAAAGTAGAATCGAACTATTTTATTGTAAAATCGAAATAATTAGAGGGTTCAATTGAATCTGATTCAGTTTTTTAATCGAAATAATTTGACGGTTCAATTGAATCTGGTTCAGTTTGTTAGACCTCAAGATTTTTATTTATTTTATTTATTAATTTTTTTCACACCTATACTTGCAAACGTGAAAATACGAATGTGGAATTTACACATCACGCCCTTTTGCACCGACGGAAATCATTTGGATCAAACTTCAAACATAACCCGGTTTCTATTATGACTGAAAGAGGGCCAAACTCACGATCCAAATTCTCAATCTGGAATCGGCAGCAGCAGCAGCAGAATAACCCCAACACCAAATCGTCCACCGCCACCGGCGATTACTCTCCACCGGCGTCGGCGATAGCATCCGTGGGCGACTCTCCAGGTATGTTTCGTTTCTCTCTCCTCCTTCAACCAGTCATCTCTCAATTCATATTTCACCACCACCACCACCACCACCACCACCATCGCCTTAGCAACAGCCATCACAACACCACCACTGTGCACCTTACTCGCGGCTCTCACCGCCACATGCCACTGTTCACAGAATACCTCACCAGCACCACTATCTATATACACACAGTATACTACTATACTCGCTCAAAAAAACATTTAAGAGTTGGTGCATTGGTGGTGGATACCATCTATATGTTGTTGTTAGTGAACTTATGACTTGTATGCCATGAACATGATGGAAGTTTACTTTAACCTATTTGTCTATTTTTGTTATAAGTTGCTTGGGGGCTTGGTTGCTTAAATGATGATGATGATGATGAATTGAATTACTTGTCTAATGTAGTCATCTTGTTTTATTATATTTATGGATTGTAGATAACAAGAGCAAAAATTACTTTGTTTAATATATATATATATATATATATTTATGTATGTATGTTTTATTTGAATCATCATTTTCTCACCGTATCTGTCTTGTTTTTTGAGATTTCGTGTCACTATGTCTGTTTCGTGTCATACATATGTCTGCACCCAGGTTTCATAGCCCCTCTAGCCACATTAACTTGCATGAAAAAAGAAAAATAATTAAAAAAAGAGGTTAGTCCATCGCGCGAGGCTTCTGCCTTTGTGGGGTTTGGCGAGGGCCGGATGTCCACAGCTTTGCACTTGGAGAGCTTATTTCCTTGTTTGGAACCTGTGACCTCCAAGATGGAGCAACCTTACCCTTTTTTTAATAAGTAAAAATAATTTAATTAAATAGTTATTTACTTATTAACTGATGGAGCAACCTTGCCGTTGCGCCTAGATGCATCAAAATTCAATTTCAATTTTTCTTGCAATAGAGGAGACCACTTAATAATCGGTTGTTGAGACACAGAAGGTTGACAAGGGGTATTCTGAAGCATCTTGCCCCAATACCTCAGAAAATTCATTAAAATCTGCCACAGCCATTTCCACATTCATGGAGATCCCATCTCTTAGCTTGAAGCCTTGAACACACCACTCAGTTCTTGATTTCCATAATTGCCACATAACAGAAGTGTTCGAACTAATTAGGTCTTCCCCTCTATCAGAATCACCCCTTGGTTTTTTGGTCATTTTTTTTCTTCTTATTTTGTATATAAATAAGTAAGATAAGGGAAAATATGTCATTTGGTTATCCCTGTAAAGGTTACTTAACACACAGTCATGATTTGCTAACATATATAGTTTAGGCTATAATTTGCATTTCTAGTGGGGTAGTTGCAAAACCCTGATAGTTCAGGGGATTTTTGCAATTTGTCCTATACGCACACGCAAAAGGATAGATTCAGTTTGGGAATTCAGGAGTAACTTTAGATTCGACTAAGAGCAAGTGGTGTGGGCATACAAGTTTATCTATCTACTTTTTAAAAAGTAGAGTGTCATATAAGCTAAAAAGTGATGATGTGGTACTCTATTTTTTTTTTATCCATATGTTTCATGGTGTGGAACCCAATTATCTCATTCTCTATTTATTATTTTATTAATTTAATTTAAAAATAAAATATAAAATTTGATACAAGACAGCAGCCGCAGCCAATTAAACAAAGAAAAAAAATTATAGCGTATTCTCCAAAGCCCACTTCATCTGTAGACAACCCAATAGATAGTCATTATAGGGCCCACAAAAAAAACACTCCACTTGTTTCTGCATATCGCCCCTCTCTCTACATTGACACACCATCTCTCTAAAACTACTTGCGCTCCCCATGCTCTAAATATAGAAGTTTCTGTCCATTGTAGTTGGTACTTATACTTTGTAGTCACGTTTTTATTTATTTATTTATTTATTATATTTGACCCAACAATTCTTTTAGAGTGATGGTAAAGTACTGGAATCACGTGGAGTACTTCGGAATTATTAGTTTATGTCTAGTTCATGGAAGGATATTATTTATATGAATTATAAGGTTGCAGTTCATATCATGGATCTTGAGGGAGGCAAGCAAAACAAGCTTTTGAATAGTTTGAGACCTATTAAAGCAATTGATGGTTGAACGCCGCAATTATTAGTTTTCTTGTTCTTAATTAACATGGATAAGAATCACTGTTGGGTACTTTTGACTTCGTAAATGTTCTGTGGTTCACCCATGTGCTCAGTAAGTAGGGGCTGATAGAAAATAGGTCATTGAGAAATTGCATGGGAGAAATAGTGGAGTGGAGGTGATTGAATGCTTGTTTATAGAATGCGTTCAGGGTTGCTTAGAAATTTAGGGGTGCAAATGAACCGAACCGTTCATGAACAGTTCGGGCTCGACTCGTTAAAAATTTGATTCAGGCTCGTTCATTTAGTAAACAAGCCGAATTCGAGCTCAATTTTTAGGCTCGTTTAGTAAACGAGCCGAGCTTGAACAATGTTAAGCTCGGCTCGTGAGCTTCGTGAACAGGCTCGTTTACATAAATATATATTATAATATAAATTATTATATTTTAAAACTAGGCCATATATATAATTCTAGGCCCAAATTCATAAAAGTATATTTTCATTAGCCCATTTAGTATTTGGGCACTTAGAAGGCCATCTAACTAAGTATCCCACTAACTAATCATAGATTCATCCCAGTCATTTGATTGTAACTTATCATTCGGGTTAAGAAACCCTAAAAGTAGCCGCAAGATGTTGCAGCGGCTTCTCCAATCCAATTGGGGGCAATGAAAATCCAGTCAATGCAACATCCTTCTGCTCCTCAGGCGGTTGTCTTCTACTCCTCAGGCGACATCAGGCTCTCTCATTTAATATTATTCATAAATCTGATAAATTAAATATTGATTAACTTGAAGCTAGTGAAGGAGATTTTGAAGAGTGGAGAAGATGAGTGTTTAACATGTGAATTGATTGACATTTTTCTGTTTCAAAATGGTTCTCCTCGATCCATTTGACAGGTAAGTATATATATATATATACACACACACACAAACACACATCTCAACATATGAGCCCGAGCCGAGCTTTGCTCGGGCTTGTCAAAAATTTACCGAGCAGAGCTCGAGCCTTGCTAGGCTCAGCTCGGCCGAGCTCGAGCAGCACTCTGATTTAGGTGAGCCAAGCCCAAGCAGCCTAAAGCTCGGCTCGGCTCGGCTCGGCTCATTTGCATCCCTTAGTTAGAATGGTTATCATTTGTTAAGGAGGTGAAATTGAGGTGGCTTGGTACCCAGGTTAGTGGTTTATAAGACTGCTAGAGCTCTTAACAGATATGTCAATGTTCTTCATACATTACTTGCTTCCCGAGGATACGTGCAGCTTAGACTCCCACGCTCACTTGATATGCATTAATCTGTATTCACATTAGTATTCTGTGATTTTGCTGAAATCATCAAACAAATGAATAACACAATCAAAACAATTATCAATATAATTTTCTAGTTTTGCCTACCTTGTATGAGTGGATATTACACATGATGAGATGGAACCTATAAATATCTGTTGAAACTTGGGTAAATAGGAAATAGGGCTTCATTTAGATCTAAAAGAGAGTGAGGAAAGGGATATGTTGCAATGACGTCCCTTGACATTTTCATACTTTGAGCTCTTGTGCGTGGAAATTATATTGGAACATGATCAATTGCATGCTTTAAAATTTTTGAGGGCAACCCATGCCTGTGACATTTATGTGTTTTTATTAATATATGTATGATGTGTTATTTTTCCCGATATTTGCAGCCAATTCACAGCATAAAATTTATTGGTACTACTGTGTAATAGCCTATCTATACTGTGTTGCTATTCGCTTTGTCTAAATTATTGATTTCAATTTAGCAGATTCTAATAAGAATTCTTCGGAATGAGAGTATGCAGTGGATGGCGTCGATTCCTTTTATGTCTCCCTCTCATTTTCTTCCTTCCTCATATCTTCTCTGGTGATTGTTCCCTCCCTTGCTATAGTTACTCTTATCATAAATAAAAAAAATTAGTTTTTTCTTTCTTTCTTTTTTTTTTCTTTTTCTTTCGGTCTCTGATTGAAACCTAAGAGAGAGATTTTCTGCATTTTCAGTGTTAGAGTTGCACAAAAACTCAACTGTAAATGACCTGCACAAAAGTCATAATAAGAAATTTGATCACCTGGTTCTTGGACCTGCTGCTGGTGAAGGTTTGCATGACCGTCTGCAATGCCAAGGTTTTTGCCATCTCCTTCAGTCTAAATTACTATAATTTGGACATATCACTTCTAATCCTTTTATATCCAGCATCTACTTAGATAACTGTGGCTGTGAGATCATGCACGTGCACTTCAGTAATATAATTTTTCAAGTTTATGTATGCATTCTATTCAAATGCTGTCTATATTGTCTACATAGAAGGAAATCAACGCATATGTAGTAACTTTGATGGAAAATGAATTAAAAAATTTCTAGTGGGTAGGCATCCTTATTGTGGAATTGGCATTGACCTCCCTTTTGTCGAGTTTTCGGGTAAAGGGTGATTTTACGATTTTACCCCAATAATCAAATAACCAATTTAATTGAAAGATGAACCCATTCACATTAAGTGAAAAAAAATAGAGATAAAAAGAGAATCATCGTCGTGTCACTACCACTCAACGTATCCGTATTAAGTGAATAAAAAAGAGAGGGAAAAAAGGAGACGATCGACATGCCACAACCCCTCAACCTGACCACAACTACCATCACCACTCTGTGGGATGTGCGTTTTAGGCGCTCTTTCTAGGATTGGGAGATGACAGAAGTGTGCGCTCTTTTGGACTTGTTGTATAGACAGAAGGATGTTGGCAGAGGTTGTGATGATATTTTGTGGGTCCCTTCCTCTCATGGTCGATATGGAGTACGATCCATGTTCATGTGTTTGTCCAACTTTAATGGCCAAGAATTCCCTTGGAAGTCTTTTTCTCAAATTATCCAAAAGAGGTAACACCATTGTGAACTGTTGTTGTTTATGCAAAACAGATAGAGAGTCCGTGGACCACATTCTTATGCATTGTTCTATCGCGTATGATTGTTGGAATTTTATTTTCAGCATTTTTGGTGTTCAGTGGGTGATGCCTGAACACTCTTTTCAATTAATCAACGCATGGAGAAGATGCCCAGTTAAAGGTCTTGCGCGTGCTTTTTGGAGGATCGTCCCACATTGTGTTTGGTGGTGCACCTGGAGAGAGAGAAATAACAGAAATTTTGAAGGAAAAGAATCAACTATAGCTAATTTAAAGTCTCATATTCTCCATTCTCTTTTCTGTTATGTTAGAGGAAGTGCTTGCTCCTCGATTGCTGATTTTTTTGACCTTTTGGATTCTATTGGTCCTTAGGGTTTTTGTTCTTCTGTATTAGGGACGCGTTCCCCTTTTGAACGCTTTTCTAATATATTTTACTTGTCAAAAAAAAAAAAAAAAAAAACTAAAGCAAAACCCCAATAGAAGGCTTCACCACTACTTTCATCAATTGACCCTGTTAAATCATCTGGCTGCTATCAGTTCCATTCCCATAACCGCCACGACCACAATTCACGTCCTTTTTTTTCTTCTCTCTTATAATCTTCTCCCATCATCACCAATGTCTGAAGACTACTCAACTCACCAATGTTTATTTACCAGTAGACTATCATAATAACCCCCCCCCCCCCATCTCCTACTAAACCTAACTACCATCGCCATACCTCAAATTTACACAAACCACAATCAATATATAATCTTCAATCTGAACCCTTGGCTCCATCTATTTTCACCATCTATTAAAGTGTATCGTCCAAGAATTATGGCAAGCAGTTTCAATTAACTAAGTATAGTGGTGGAACAAAGATGACAATGATGATAGTGGTAGTGGTGCTTGGACGTGAAAATGAGATTATTGGTTGATGTGATGGCGTAAAGCACTGAAGAGAGAGAGTTAGTTAACTAAGTCTTACTGCCCCTTATATGATGTGGCTAGATCATATTGGTGCTTAATCTTGTTTTTCTTTTGGCTAGTATTGAGAGTATTATAGACATTTGTTCTATAGTTGACTTGAATAAAAGTGAAATGGGTATTTTTTTATAAATAGTAAAAAAAAAATTAGATGCTATTATCAGCAAAATCCATTTGATTCACTGATGGTTGAATGACTGAAGGGGGAATATGTTATAAAAAATTAAAAAATTGGAGAGGACAGTGTCATTCCCTGCACATCCCTCTGGTAAAGGAGATCCACCTGTAATTAAGATGAAGTCAGATCACTTACATTCTCCAATTGAATAATGCGTTTATGCTCATGCATGGTGATGAACATTGCTTAGTGCCTGTAAGCCTTAACGGTCCCCAGTCCCCCACCAATCACATGCACAAACAAGCACCTGCGCACAAGCACCTGCGCACATGCACCCAAAAAGAAAAGGATTATATATATATATATATAGATATATATTTATTTATTTATGCTCCCATTGAAACGTTAATAACCCCTCCTCCCGGGGCGGGGCAGTGCAGGCACAAGGTTCCTGGATAATTTTTAAGAGCCCCATAAAGAGGATTTTATATACTCTTGAATCCAAATCTCCTGTTTTGCTATCACATGATTAATTCACATATATGGTCTCTTGCGTGAAATAGATAAATCATGCTCGATAATTTCCGCAAGCACAAATTCCGCTGCGTCAGAAGAAGGACAGCTATACTGATTCGGTAGACTCTAAAGACGCCCTCGGGCGCAACCCAACTCTTCTTTTTTACCTTTTTTTTGAATCGAAATATTACATGCTTTGCAGGCACCAAAGCTCTTAACAAGACCCACCTTTCAACCTCCTCCGGCAATTTTAGTTTTGGAGAGAGTGTAGCCTTTGTCACCTTTTATGCCGCTTATGACTCCTCTGTTGATAGGCTGGTCAATGGTAGGTTAAAAGACTTGGTTACTGTTGGGAACATTTCATACAGTAAGGTGGAAAGATCAATGGCCATTTTGAATGTCTTTGTAAACTTCGTCCAGGTATTTTTTTATTTTTTTATTCTTATTTTTTGGTAATGAAGAATCTACCAACCTGCTAGCCACTTAGGACTTTTGGATGGCTTGCGAACTCCGGATGTTCGCATTCAACTTAGATTCCATATCAAATTTTATAAAAGATATCAGGTATAGCTTATATGCTTATATATACACTGGTTTGTTACAATGACATACACTTTAAAAGTTTACCAATCAATATTAGACTTTCTGCATTACTTTTTATACTAAGTTCTTGTAAATTATTCATGAATGTGTGTAGAATTGACAATGAATTGGTTTTGGTGGGTGGCTAGATGAATGATTGCCCAACTTGCAAAAGATGTAAATATATGGAAGGTGTGTAGAAAATTTGAAAAGACTGATGATCATCAGAAATACTTGAACAGACTTCAAATTGAGATTTGGGTTTCGGAAACCTACTCTGCATATGCTTCGAGTTTGGTCAGCATTTGTCAGTGCTATTAAGACCGAGTGTGTGGTTGAGTCAGCCACCGAATGCAGACTGATCATCCATACAAGTAATGCTGTCTTAGTTCTGCTGTCACCATGTAGTTTTTTGAGTCATGGTTGACATATAATGTTATAAATAGCGGGTTTATGATATTTAGCATGGGCTACAATTTCTTTTAGATGAGGCTTGTACTCCCTTTAATCATTTGTTGCCCATACTCTGCATAGAATTTCTGGTAGATAATCCATACAATCACTGTAATACAATTTGGTATTATATGCATTACGTTTGTTAACATTTGTTTAATGGGGGCCATGGAGCTATTTTAGTTGCAATCCTATGTGATTCGAGGGGCTCAAATGTTTACACTGAAAGTACAATATTTGCAGATGACAATGCCCCAGAGCAACATTATCATTCTTACCGATCCGGCATCTAAGCTTCCCCTACACAGAAATAGGGTCTCTATATATCCGATTCAAGGTGAATATTCGCGAGACAAGTTGATGCTTCAAAGAATCAGGTCCTACATTGTAAGAGAACACTGCATTGATTAATAAAGAAAATATATATGTTGGTAAATTGCTATTTTACTTTAGCTACAGTCCATTCTTGGTGTTTCTTTCATATCCCATAGTTACCAATCTTTGTCACATGTGCCTCTCTGATTGACGTATTTAACACGGGCACTCTTTAAATCACTTTCCTACTCAGATGGCTTCAATTCCTATATTTCTTCAAAGAATCCAGTTGCCACTTGCCAGTGATAATCTACATTTGAGTTTCATGCGTTTAATAATGCGAGGCTTGCTTGATATAAAAAAGCAATGCTAATGAGCATTACTTTATACAAGTGTTTTCCAGACGTGTACTTATTTTTGTGTGTGCAATTGATTTTCTGTCTATGTAGACCTTTCTAGAAGCAAGGCTTGAAGAGCATTCTCAGTCGCAGGGGCATATTAACCATTACATCTTCACCGACTCAGATGTATCAGTAGTTGACGACCTGGGACAAATATTCTATAACTACCCAAATATTCATTTGGCTCTCACCTTCAGGAACAACAAAGAACAACCTCTTAATTCAGGATTTATAGCAGTGAGGGGCACACCTGATGGAATGCTAAGGTGCATAAATTGTGTTTCTTCTCAGTGCTCTGGTTGCCTGCAAGGAAATGTTTAACAAGAACAGAATCATATGTTTTTGGTTACTCAAGTAATACTAAGCTTAGAAGTCGACTTAACGACCTTGTACAATTTACTGGGTGGCTGCACAAATTTTCTTTCTGGTGTTATGCTTTATAGAGGTGTGGGGAGAAAGCAAACTGAGGCAACTTTCACCAGCCTTCTAAGAAAAGGCAGAGAGGGAGAAAATGTTTTCACCTCCACGGTTGTCATTTCTACTGCCTCTCACCCTATTGCCACCAGTTTCACACCTTTGCACCCACCTTCTTCCATATATTTCGTCCGCCATCTTAGTCCTTACATATAATGACTCAATTGATATCTTTACTTCTCATGGGAAACAGAAACAGTGGAGTGGAATCAGATCACTGGCACTGTGATAGTTGGAAACTTGCTCCCCAACTTGAATGAACTTAAAATTGTTTAAATATTGTGTAAAGTTTGTGTTGTTTCCTTTGGAATCATCAGTACTTGCACATACTGATGTCTTTTCTGAGTTAATAATGATTTGAATCTGGCTACAGGGCAAAGGTTTTCTTACAAGAAGTGCTGAAAGTTTACGGTTCCAAATATATGAAAGCTTCCCGAATGCTTGGAGATCAATTAGCTCTTGCCTGGGTTGTAAGATCTCACCCTCACTTTGATGCAAAAAGGTTTGCTCGACCACAAGCCTTTGTAGAAGATATTAGTGGCGCTTCAGTGCTCTTTCTACCATGTGCTATTTACAATTGGACACCACCAGAAGGCGCAGGCCAATTTCACGGTATGCCCTTGGATGTTAAGGTACATTCTAATAACTAGATTTCTACTTCTTAAGACACACCTGATAAAAGGAATCTAATTTTGCTCTTGAATTTTATTTGGTTAGCCTTTTTTATATTTTAGAAGTTTGTCACGGATGATTGACTCCCCAATTCTGGCCTCATTCCTGGATACAGGTTGTTCATTTCAAGGGATCGAGGAAGCGCCTTATGCTTGAGTCTTGGAACTTCTTGGATTCCTCCTCTAACATTTCGGATATGCTATGCCTTATCTTAAAGAGTGGAAGGACAAAGTATGATTTTTAAGTTCCGAAGTATATGGTTTATGGCTCAATATAAGCATCATTTTCTGCAAATTCAGTGAAGGGATGACCCACTTCATTTGGAGGAGGTTTTTGTGGCAGTTCTCTCTTCATAATAGTATCTTATGGGTCTCAGTTTGATTCATTTAGTACCCCCAAAACAAGTGTTTGATTGATTTATTTTCTTTGATGAGAACTGTCTTCCTCTACAGATTTATTTATTGTTTTGATAAATTTTTATTGTCTAAACTTGAACGTCACGAGCTGGACTAATTTTGGTTCAAGTGCTTTTCCGGCCGAGGCCGGCTCCATTCAATCGGAGGCCGAAGGCAATTTCTTAAACAAGCCTTCAACACCACTACCTTCATTATCACTTTTGTTCCCATTTTTTTCTTCTTCTTTTATATTAGGTAATTTCACATTAGTTTTCTTTTTTCCCAAAAAGATACTACTCAAAATTACATACATATCACGTTGCAGACTGATAGTATACACACACATTTTCATCACTCCTTTCACATAATATCTCTTGCTCCGGTTGACACCATTTAAACATAAAAAATAATTATAAATCATTTGTATCATATATTACACTAGTATCAATTTTTTTTTTTTACATTTTTAAGGATAATGAAAAGTATTTGAAATTATTTCAATAATCAGTATGATCTAAGTCACATAAAGGTGGAGCGGAAGCGCGAGCGAATTTGAGAGTAGGAGCGTGAGAGTGGCATAATTAAGTCATAAACAGCGAGAATTTGAGCGAAAGCGCGCGCAGAGCGTGAGAGCGACACTTGTTGAGAAGGATCGTGTGAGGGAATTTATTTATTATTTATTATTTATTTTTCTAACCTTTTATTGGACAAAAGTTGTACAAGAAAAACAACTATATGTGTGTGTATATATATTTTATAATATTGGTAATTGCAACTTCATGTTTTTGTTGATTATAAATTTATAATAGTAATTTTATTTCATGTCTAGTAACAAAGTTAAATTCGGGAATTTATATATTTCAAATCAAATAAATTAAATAAATTCATAACTTTAGTCATCAAGTAAGAAAATTTTACATGAATAATAAATATGTCTGGGAGAAGTAGCAGAAGCCATACATGAAGAGAGAAAAAAATAAGAATGACAATGTTAAGAATTGACAGACTATTCTAGAAATTTTTTTAACTTGACATAGACTACTAAAATATAGATTTATATTTTTAGACATGTAAAAAATATTGTACAAATTTCTGAAGAAAACACAAAAAAAATTGGTTTTTTTGAAGAATAATCCAGAGAAATTTGAGAGGTACGAGTGTACTGTAAATAACATTATGAACTCCCAAAGAGCTCACACTTTTCATGTTCAATTGGAAAATGAAAACGTAATTGTTTGGCCTGTAAAAAAACGGCGTCGATTCTGATGGAACCGGATGGGCATGCCAGGAACTACAGTAGTTCCGAAGAGAGATCCAAACAATATTCTAGAAAGAAGACTGCGAGACCAGGTGATTGTGATGAGGTCTGGAATGAACACCTCAGTTCTTTTTGCCTTTGATAAAGGACTTCGGGATGGTTAACTGGTTAGGAAGAACTACGTTACTTGTGAAAGTAAATAAATTATCTAATGAAAAGTAAAGTGCATGACTATGATCAATCATATTAAAAGTGCATTGCAATGTAAAATAAAATTGTATTGAAATGCAGTGTTTGGCGTTGAACAGACTTTCTAAGTTACAATATCGTGTCCTATTTATAGAATTTAGTAATGGTAGCTTGCATGTAACCGTTTGTTTCCTAAGCTGACATGTGTCCCATGACTTTGTATGTAACCGCTTACTTCCTTGACTGCCATATGTCCCAAGATTTTCCATTGGAATGTCGTAGTACCTTTCTGTTGGAATCGACCAACTTCCTAGGCTGCTATGTGTCCCATGACCATGTAACCACTTACTTCCTAGGATGTGTCCCATGACTTTGCATGTAACCACTTGTAACCACTCACTTCCTAGGCTGCCATGTGTCCCATGACTTTGCATGTAACTGCTTGCTTCCTTGACTGCCATGTTTCCCAAGACTTTCCACTGGAATGTCGTAGTACCTTTCCATTGGAATCGACCAACTTCTTAGGCTGCCATGTGTTCCATGACTTTGCATGTAACCGCTCACTTCCTAGGCTGCCATGTGTCCCATGACTTTGCATATAACCACTCACTTCCTAGGCTGCCATGTGTTCTATAACTTTGCATGTAACCACTTGTAATCGCTTGCTTCTTTGGCTGTCATGTGTTTCAAGACTTTCCACTGGAATGTCGTAGTACCTTTCCATTGGAATTGACTAGAACAATCTTCTTCTGGAAAGTGGAAACTAAGGGTGTAAACATTGCCCCCCAAATTTGATGTGTCTGATATTCTTTGAAGAATTGTAAGGCATATCAAATTATAGATGTGAGTGAGAATTTGCCATGTGATATTTCTATTGTTAAGAAATTGAACAAGTAAAACTTATCAGCCAGAATGTACCATTGGGCCAAAAACTTTTAAGCAGCTTACTTATTTAAGGAAGACGAAGATTTGAAGCCTTACGTCCATTTTCGTTGCCTCCCGGTGTCTGGAGGTTTACGAGGAGGTCGAATTTGTACATCTTCTGACCAAATACATAGTTGATTGGCCATGTTTTGCCCCCCAAAAATCACAAGATGTGAATTTGGGACAAATAAAATAGTACCATTTTTTTTTTCCAAAATTGGAAGAAAAATATTATGACCGTTATATTCTTCATGTGGAAGAATATACAACGATTGAGAAGCTTGTGCTGTTTCCGAAGGAAAATCTGACTGTGGAAAATGTTCTTCCAATGGAAGAAATGATAACGGCTTCCTATGGAAAGGTTTGTTAACCTTCCTCATAGCCAAGCCACAGTCTTGCGAGGAGAAGTTAGTAAGTTGGCTTGTATTTTCTGGCTAACCTTTGGGTAGGTTGGCTATTAGATGCCCCCTAAACACCACTGGAATTGGGTTTGGGTCTGCCCAAGGAATATTCCTCCGGTGGATTGGATTTACTCTATGATCGGTAAGTTTCCTTGGAGGGTGTTCAATTTCGAATGCCATTGGAAAGGCCAATAGTGGCCTTGGTGGTGTGCTTGTAGGCTGCTGAATGTTCAAAAGTGGAACATTCTGTTGGACCTGAAATTGAACTTTCTGGATTGCTGTTGGTGGAGGGTTATGCACCTCAACTGGAACCTGCACCTGCGATGGAAGTGGTTGAGCTACTGCTGGTGGAATTGACTTCACTGTTGCTGAAGGATTCTGCACCTTAGGTGGAACCTGCATATGCGATGGAAGTGGTGGTGGAATCGACTTCATTACTGGTGGAATCGATACCATAGGTTGGGGTAATGAATTTATAGTTTCTGGCCAACCTTTGGGTAAGTTGGCCATTGGATGCCCCCCAAACACCACTGGAATTGGGTTTGGGTCTGGGTTATTCTTCCAGCTATCTCTATTACCTCCTTCTTCACGAAGTTCCTTGGTACGTTCTGCCCTTCAACTGCCACAGGAAAAACTTGAGATGGTCTTTGAGGAATGGTAAGAGGTGGCTGAACATTCTGCTGGCCAAAATTAGGTGGAAAATACGACTAATTTCCTAATTGACCTGCCTGAGCTGTACCCTAAGAAGACCCAAATTGTTAGAAAAAACCTCATGACAAACCTGTTGAGGCATAGTCACAGGAGCTGAATTCTGCACTTGCTGGGTCACTGGAATGGAAATCGATTGTACAGGTGGCACCTGCACTGTGCCTGTGGTATTGTACTCACAGGTTGATGAGACGGACTTCCCTCAACAAAAGTACTTGGCCTGTTCACTGGAACGACCGATTGCTGAGAATCTTCTGAATTGCTTGGCCTATTAGCCATGCTTTGAGAAATGCCGGCCATGCTTTGAGTAACACCGGCCATGTTTTTAGAAAGAATGGCTATGTTTTGAGAAAGAGTTGCAGAAGACCGTTCAAACATAGTTTCCAGTCTGCTGGTCATTTTTTCTTGTGGTCGAATGGCCTCATCGTGATTACAGCTCATCAAACGTGACATATCCATGATTGGTCCGTTCCTCATTGCTTTGACAATCTTTGCAATCATATTTTCTCCTTCTTCAAGAACGGCACGTGAATTTTTACCAAGAAGTCCAATAGCCTGTTCCTCTTCACTTTCGGCAGGATCTTGAATAGATTTGTCGTGTTTTTTTCCTCCCGCCATAGAAACACTCCATTTAAAATGTTCCGCTGGGCGTGCCACTATGTTTGGCCTGTAAAAAAGCGGCATTGGTTTCGATGGAACTGGATGGGCGTGCCAGGAACTGCAGTAGTTCCGAAGAGAAATCCAAATAATATTCTAGAAGGAAGACTGCAAGACTAGGCGATTGTGATGAGGTTTGGAATGAACACTTCAGGGTTCTTTTGCCTTTGATAAAGGACTTCGGGATGGTTAACTGGCTAGGAAGAACTTTGTTACTTATGAAAGTAAAAGAATTATCTAATGAAAAGTAAAGTGTAGGGCTAAGACTAATCATATTGAAAGTGCATTGCAATGAAAAGTAAAATTGTATTGAAATGCTATGTTTGGCGTTGAGCAGACTTTCTAAGTTACAATATCATGCCATATTTACAGAATTTAGTAATGGTAGCTTGCATGTAACTGTTTGCTTCCTAAGCTGATACGTGTCCCATGACTTTGCATGTAATCGCTTGCTTCCTTGACTAATATGTGTCCCAAGACTTTCCACTGGAATGTCATAGTACCTTTCCATTGGAATCGACCAACTTCCTAGGCTGCCATGTGTCCCATGACTTTGCATGTAACCACTTGTAACTGCTCACTTCCTAGAATGTGTCCCATGACTTTGCATGTAACCACTTGTAACCGCTTGCTTCTTTGGCTGCCATGTGTCCCATGACTTTGCATGTAACCGCTTATAACCTCTCACTTCCTAGGCTGCTATGTATCCCATGACTTTGCATGTAACTACCATGTGTCACATGACTTTGCATGTAATCACTTTTAACCACTTACTTCCTAGGCTGTCATGTGTCCCATGACTTTATATGTAACCACTTGTAATTGCTTGTTTCCTTGGCTGCCATGTGTCCCAAGACTTTCCACTGGAATGTCGTAGTACCTTTTCATTGGAATTGACCAGAGCAATCTTCTTCTGGAAAGTCGAAAATAAGGGTGGAAACAGTAACTAAAATTGGTTCTAGTTTAGTTTTGCTTCGAGACAGAAGAGAGAAGATTCTCGAATGACAAATTGATCCAAATTGGTCATAATTTTTTTTCATTAGACAGTGTGGAAATGATAAGATGAATTCAACAGAATTGTGAGAGTAGTATGAGGAAAAAATCTGATGGAGTAACACTAACTATTGACATGCACATTTAACTTCCTAAACTATTTTGTTTGTTGCCAAAAAAAAAAATCCCAAAATGTTAGTTGATCGTCAACTTCAATACAAAATGTTAAAAACACAAAACTAAGCCTAATGACTTATATATACCATACCATTTAAAATCTAAAACTCCATGCAAACCCTATCTATCTTTTTCATATCACAACTTTCTCTCCCTCTTCTTGCGTGTCTTTGTATTTATGTACAACACATGCATGCCATCCGAGTCCCAAAATACATGTATGAGGTGGGAATCAAGATCAATCATAAAGAACCTGGGGTGAATCCAAGTGCAGGCAAGCCAAAAAGGCGCAGAAACCGTGATAGATTTCTATCTCTTGCACAGTGAACCAAGACGGAAGAAGGTGGAGGTTTGAAGCCATGAAAGAACCCTTTCGAGCAAGTCTTGGTAAAGCTCATCCAAAGCTTGAAACTCCATTTTCGTCTTTTGGGTATTTCCTTTTTCTTGACTTCCCATTGAAATTGAACCCAAAGAGGCATACCTCTCCAACAAAACCCAAATACCCCCTCAAGATGTTCCAAGGAAAAATAAAACAGAGAAATTATTTCTTTCTTTATTACTACGTAGTATTTTTTTGGAACCAAAATGACATAAAATTGAGTATTTAAAAGAAAAAGAGATTGATTTTGTGACAAAAGACGTGTCTTTGGTGAATTGAGTTTTGATTATATGGATACATTAATTGAGTTTGTGGGGGAAAATTAATTGGGGTTTTGAGGGATTTTAACTTTCTTTCATGGGCAGGGCAGAAAAAGGAGTGGGAGTGAGACTCAAATTTTCTCAGCTGGGAACGATAGATATTATTAGGAGCTAGTGTCGGTTTGGCTCGAGATGTAATCAAATTACAGTGATAAGTTCTAATATGCTACCTGTCACGTACTTAACCCATTAATTATATGTTTAGAACAGACATTTTTCTTAAAAATTAAATTAAACTCGAGGAAAATAAATTTATCAGGATGAAGTTTCTGAGCCTTTGTGTTCTTAAAAGAAAAGAAAATTAAACAAACTACTAGAATATCGAAAAAATAAATAAACAAACAATTAGAAGAATATCATAAAAAGGGAAGAAGAGAGTTTGGAAAAAGAAAGGGTTTCAAACAAATGAGACAATTAAGAAATGAGAATCAGCAAACATAGCTTCTGTATACAAAGAATGAATGATTCTAGCCCCAAACCATAACTAAAGATGCAACAAACTGATAAAAATATTAATAAATGGCAATTTATTCGGGGGCATCATAAAGATTGCTGCAACTCTTCTCCTTATCACACAACAAATAGATAATTGCAAGAGCAGCATTCTCTCTGAGTCCACCAATCTTACTGCAACTTCAAACAATCTTGCTTAAGCTAATAACTCAATAGAACAAGATAACCTTGCCTTAAAACTCGTAAATCACAAACTAGAAGAAATAGTCTATGAAACCAAATTCTGATTCTGATTTATAAACAAAAATGATCTAGTTTATGTACAGTCTCCTACTACACACAAGGGACCTAATTTTAGGACTGAAATGGTAAAGGATGAGAAATACCAGAAGACCCAGAAATATCACTTGGAACCAGAATCAATAGCTCACCATCTTTGTCTTCAAATAATCTCAAAGCATCATCTGTTCCCCTGGAGTCCTGGACTATGTACTTATTAAAAATACCCAGAGAAATCAATATAAGTCTCAGTTCTACTTTTGTCTCAAACGAGGCTTCCATCATATAACTACTACATTCTATATATCTTCGCACTCTTCAATGACACAACGAGGAACAGATAGCAATAGTCCTAACCACCCAGAATAGACAATATAACGAGTATTACATTCCTTTCAGATCTAAAACCACCTCCCTATCAACCATATGCATCTTATAGAATATATAATATAATTCGACATTATGCCATTTTTGGATTTCACAAGTTTAAAAAAGTACGGAAGAGTGGTGCTTAAAAAAACACAAAGATAAGTAAGAGAAACTCATTTCAGTGGGTTCCATGTTGCAAGTATCAGCTTAGTTTCTATGACCTGTAAGATCATCTTTGTCACAAGTGTCGAACTAGAACCGCATTCAAATTGTTCGAAGCAGTTGCAACTTGTCCTGAATGATGAAGACTCAAATGACAATTGTACTGTAACAAATTAAAACTAAAAATATCTAGGTTCTAAAGAAAATTTTCCAACACAAATACAAGCAAAAATGAAAAAAGGAATAAGCTTTTCAGTTTTCAATTACCAAATCAAACAAATTATTATTTTTTGATAAGTACCAAATCAAACAAATTATAATTTAATAAAAAGTGCTTCAAGACTGAACACCATAAACTTTTCAATCACCAAATCAGAATTCTGTTTTATTATTTTAACCAAAGTCCATTAGATGTCTTGAAAGCCATAAACTAGGTGAAAGTAATAACAGTTGTAAACATGCATAGCACACTGCATCAGCCATCCCACTTGATAGCAAATCCTCCCAACTCAATTTTTCCAGTCGATGTGATAAGAACTTAGCCCTACCATTTTGGGTCATCTGGATTTGAACTTAGCCCTACCATTTTGTGTCAACTACACAAATCCAGTATGTTTTTTCACATCAAAGTAAATACAATTTATAACATTTAAAACACCAAGTAATCTTTTTTTGCATCATTCCCAAAACCATAGACACAATGACCTAATCAATGGAGTTGACAATATAATCCCCAGAAGGAGTTTTTCTGCTGATATATTTTTTAAAAGAATAAGGATTTAGAATACTTGAGATTCAGCCTATTAAAGTTGTTAAGGGATTGAAAGAAAAATATACTTTAAACCAAGCTCTGATCGACAATTGCATCAGTCAAGAGTGCTGCAAGCTTGTAAAAACATAAAATAGGATAACCTGAAGTAAACATACCTCTATGTTCAATGACTGCCAATCACAAGGTTGATTGAACCTCTAAATTACAACAGCTCCAATGATTTATTAGTAAAAAAAATTACTCCCTGGACAAAAATAAACATAAGAAATTTACAGGACAATATGTCTTCAGAACTAAAACATCATATTTATGAACAATAATATTGCAAGTTGATAGGATGTCATACAGGAATAATGAGTGATAAATCCAACTACCAAACCAACAGGCCTGTGGCCTAGCGGTACAAGGCTCCTACTTCCCAAAGGGAGGTCAGGAGTTCTAACCTCAGTGGAGGCAGTGTGTGTGAGTCCCAACTAGGGAAAAAAAAAAAATCCAACTGCCAAAATTTTGAAGTGTAGATATAGATGATGCTTTGTTAAGTGGAGAATAATAATTATACATTTTGAAAAATAAATATAAGAACATGCACATCATGTGATTTTGCACTTGATTGAGGTAGGATGAAACAATTGCAGGGCCAGTGGGACAGGTGAATTGGCACATTGATAGAGCCACCATTTAAAACACAAAATTCATATAAAAGCGCATCTACGTAGCAAATTAACAATATCAATACACCCCATATGTTATAGTAGTTTAGTAGGAGTGTGCAATACACAGAGTCAAATGAAATTCAATGAAATGTATAAAGAGAACAGAAAAGCCAAACTAATGATTCTCATATATTATTGAAATTCCATAGAGATTATACAAGTTCACCAATCTCAAGACGCTCTATCAGTCATGAATTCTACAATAATAAATCTACAACAATTACTTTCCCAAGAATTAAAATGGATGGTTCTGGATAGCTAGGAATCCAGCAAACAGTGTCCAGCAACCCAAAAATCTTCTTCGTCGTGGGATGCAAATTCCCTACTCATGTGGCATCATTAAGATACGTGAAAATGAGATAATTAGGCAAAGAACATAGATAGATTAAAAACAATCACAAGAATTGAAATGAACAACAATGTGAATGACCCTACCACACAATTGAAAGAATGTATCACTGCACACTCCTCTTTCCAGAACCATTGTAACTCAGGTACCATCGAACAAACTTCTTCAAACCCGTCTGCAGATCAGTTGTGGGCTTATACCCAAGCTCCCTCTGAGCCAAGCTTATATTTGCATGTGTAAATTGCACATCCCCATTCCGCGGCAACTTCATAATTTTTCTTTTCGCCTTCACTTTCAAAAGCCTCTCCAAAATGCTCACAAGGTCCGAAACTGGCACCGGGGAAGTATTCCCCAAATTGAACACCCTCAATTGAGCTGGCCCCTTCTTCTTCCCACCACTGCCAGTACTCTTCTCCGCAGTATCCAATGCAGCCAAGCAACCCCTTACAATATCATCAATGTACGTAAAATCCCGCGCGACCGTTCCATGGTTAGGCGCTTGAAAGATTGGTATAGACTTTCTATTCAATATATCCCTGGTAAAGAAGAAATAAGCCATATCTGGTCTTCCCCACGGACCATAAACCGTAAAGAACCGCAAACCAGTAAGCGAAAGTCCATATATATGATTATAAGTATGAGCAATCTCTTCACCAGCCTTCTTAGTGGCTGCATAGAGACTTGCAGGCTGGTCTGTTCGATCTTTTTCAGAAAATGGCACCTTTGAATTGAGTCCATACACAGAACTCGACGATGCCCACACAATTGCAGGCTGTGGATTCGCAGACTTACACACTTCAAGAACATTAACAAACCCAGCAATGTTACTATGCACATAAGCACTAGGATTTTCCATAGCGTACCTCACACCAGCCTGAGCTGCCAAATGCATTACATGGGTAAATGCCACAATGTCGAAAAGCCTCCGAAGCAGGGTCGCGTTGTTGATATCGCCGTCGACGATGAACACTCCGGTGCGCTCTAGGAGCCTCTGGCGGTCCCGTTTCAGCGACGGATCGTAGTAGTCGTTGAAATTGTCGAGCCCGAGAACTCCATCGCCGCGGCGTTTGAGGGCCATGGAGACATGGGTTCCGACGAAGCCGGCGGCTCCGGTGACGAGGACGGAGAACCCATTACGAGATCGGACTCGGGCAGATGACCGGACCCGTTTCTCCCATGACGGGCCGCCCCAAGATTCGGTTCGGAGCGATCGGCGAGAGAGATCGGAGGACGATGGAGAGGCTGGGGAGGGAGATTTTAAAAAGAAGAACAAAATCAAGAACAAGAAGGCCAAAGACCAGAATGTGATCTTGGTGAGAGAAGAGTGCCACCTGAGCCTGTGAAGGTATGGAGATTTCTCCATCTTGAACTTCCCTGGCGTCGATGGGATGTTGTCCATGAGGGACATTTGCTTCATTTTCTCGGGGAAATCAAAACCCTAGATTTTTTCCCTTCTGTTTATCTAGGGTTAGGGTTTGGGAGATTTCTATTTCACACAATAGATTTTTAGTTCTGCTGTTGAAGATGAGAAAGAGAGAGAGAGAGATGAAAAGGGTGTGTTGTGCTGGTGGTGATGGTGGTGTCTCAGCTTTTCTCTTTATTTATGGGAATCTTATGGTTTCTTGGAGGAATTGATTGTTTTTTGTCATATTTGAGGCTTTACATAGAAAAAAGATGGAGACTTGCTGTTTGATTAGGCAAATGGGGGTGATTAGAGAGAGACTAATGAAGATGGAAATAAGCGGGGTTTTGACTTTTTTAAGGATTAAAAATGGATTAGTGAAGAAGACCAAGTAAAGAATAGTCAAGAGAAGTGTAATTAAGTGAGTTTGATTAAGGGTATAAACAAGGGTTTATTCCAAGAAAAATCAGATCTTGTGTCAGTTGAATGAAAAGAGAGAAAATAGTAAAAAAGTGTATTTATCCCATTGGGTTTTACAGTTTTACTTCATCAAATCAAAACTAACTGTGGGTAAAAAAAAAAACACTATATTTAGGGGGAGGAGTGAACAGTGTGAGGTGTTGAGTCTACCTAATTATGGGGAGTTGCTAAATGTCACACCATTGAAGTCATTCTCCATTGGCTTGAAACCCATGATGAGTGTCACATATTCCGCAGAAGGTATGGCTTGATGATGCATTATTAAATTTATTTATTAGAAGAAGTGTCTACCAAGAATTTTACACAATAATTTATGATAAAGTCTCTCATTTTCAAGTGTTCCAATAAAGAGTGTTTAATAAGAATTTTTAATTAATAATAAAATATTAATAATAAAATTTCAATTATTTTAAAGTGTTTTATGGAACGAATTGTTTTATCACTCTATTTTTTAAAACCCCACTGAGACATTTTTTTTCAATTTTTATTTTTTTAGGAGGAAAGATGGCTCATGTCACACGTGAATAATAATCACTTTCCAACTTAGCTGACATAATTTGAGAGATAATCACAATTTAGTATTTTCTTTTTTAGGTATGTCAACATTTTTTTGGATCTGGTTTAAAACAAAGGACAAGATATGCCTACTCATTGGTGAGTTGGTCATCTCTAATCACCTATGGTTTAATCATAAAATGTCCAAATAGTTCCTAATTATAAAATTAGGAAAGTGATAAATAAGGATAATTAATTTTTTTTAGATTAAAGTCTGATTTTCTTATTTATTACTTTCTTAATTTTATAATTATAAATTATTTATATATTTGTGATTGGACCACATTAGTGGTGAGTAATGGGTAAGTAAATCTTGTCCTAAAATAAATTAGAGTAAACTGATTCTAATTGTTTTTGGAAACGGAATCGAACTATTGGAAGCAATACATCCGAGCCAAAGTGTTTTGATTCTATTCGATTTGGTTATATGATTTTGGATTTTTCTATATATATATATATACTTACAAATAAAATGAAAAACCAAAATTTTAAATGTATATATATGATGATTCTATATTTTGAAATGTATGGTAAGTAAGGAAAGAAAAAAAATGTGTGCTAAGTGTATTCTCTACCAATCAAAATTGAACAAATATATTATGCAATAATATATATATATATATATATATATATATATATATATATATATATATATTTTGCATTCTACACATCTCGAATTAAAAATTTAGATTTTATCTTGAATTTAATGTGGTGATAACTAAAAAAACATTAATATTCTCTATTTTAATGAATATTACACTTTATTATTTTATACATTTGTGTGTTCCTGTGTTAACAAACTAAACAAATTGTTGATTGAAGGAAAAGGATAGAACAAACAATTATACTAGGTTTCCCTCTCTTTCTCTATTTTACTTTTGGGAAATGATTCTTATACCGAATAGTTAAAGTGAATTGTTAGATATACTCTTTTAATTGTTCAATTATACAACAAATAAGAAATGGAGCCCTCCACTTAGTTGTATTTGGTATAAATAACTAATTAAAAATTATTTAGTTAGGCAATTCACTGCAAGTGTTCAAGTGTTCGGTAATGTCAGTATTACTACTCTTTACTTTTTTTCTAGTAATATTTTTTTTTATTATATAGACAGTAATACAAGTATATATATATATATAATCTCTTGCTCACCAACGAACAACATAATTTATCCACACTTTATATGCAAACTGTTAGATTAAATCTAGGTCACATATCTATTGTATGATGACATTATTAACACTGTGATATATAGTGGTCCTTAAGAAGCTGATTAAGGATTTATAAAACTGATGGGTTTAGACTGTAAATATTATTGGTTCAAAGAGTAGTGATGTTAAGACAATTGATGTAATTGTTCAACCTCCTGAGTTGAATGAGATTTGATCCTACGGTCAAAATCGTTCCTTTATCATGATCGGAATACTTTGACAAGTCAAAATCAATTCCACAATGAAGGCAGTTTATTTATTTTTATTATGTATCTTATGTTTTAATTTATGTTAAATAAAAACGTCTTACAACCGCAAAGCAAAATCACAAAGCTTTGCTTTGCTTCAGCAGAAAGCTAATCCATATAAGAAATTTTTATGTTCGTATAGAGATTAATTTTTTTTTTATTTTGAACCAATAATTTATAAATTATTATATGTTGACTTTCTCATTACATCATCGTTCACGAATAATCTTATATTTCTAATACATCCTATTAAACCGACCAATTAAACAATTAGGTCTTTATACATTTTAAAATTTATTAAATTTAGCTTAAAGAATATAATTATTTCATTATCAAAAATTCAACTTAAAAGACCATCATGAAATTTGTAATTTCCTTGTCCGTGAGTGAGTTAGGAAAAGAAAGAAGAAATAAAAATATGCACATGACAAGCACATGGAGCATGTGACAGTCCGGTATAGAGAGACAGACAGTTCTTTCTTTACACCCAAGCATCATCATGTTCCATGCCTTCTACTTAATAATGTAAGTTGTATGCTCAACAATTAATCTTTTTTATTTAAATTACACTTTCTTGGAAATTGCTGGTCAAAACTATATATATATATATATATATTTTAAAATAAACTATCCACCATGGAATACTTTACAGCCTCAAGTTTCATGGACAGATCTACCGAATTTTTCTGCAACTTTTAAACCAAATTGAGAAAATAATCCTAATTTGGACTGAGATCACCAACAAAAATTTAAAAAAGAAAAAAAAGAAATATTTCTTAGTACCATCTTAATGTACTTCATTCAATATCAAGTGATGTACTGCATTCAACAATTCACATCACTAATATGTAATGAGAATGAGAACCGTCAAATGTAATACAATGCTTGTGTTGTATTGCAGAGGATTCCGACTCTTAATACCAATATCAAATAATGAAACTTTTTGGGTCAAATGGCTTCAATTACATGCCAGCTACTAAAGTCCAAAATCATCTTACCCAATGTTTTCATATGCCTCCTTGATCTATTTGAACCTATTTCTTTAGGATGTATATAGCGGGAAGGTTGAATTTTTTTTTTTTTTGGGTTTTTTTTTTTTTAAATGTAGTTGATAAATTCAAGTGCGAGACTCATCCCACTACATCAAAGGGATAAATACTCATTCGACTATTCACATCGAGTTGAAAAATTGTTTAAGAATAATTTTCATTAGAAAGTATTCAAAGAGAATACTAAGTCCGTCACAACTACTAGTTAGAACTATTTTGGCATGGAAAAATGATATCCAAGCCAAAATGAAACAATTAAGGCCATTGATGGCCTAAAGTGGAGTCTAAAATGGAGTCCCCCTATGCTGTCAATGATTTTAATTGTTTCACTTTGATAAATAAACCTAACAAGTGATGCTTAATATCATTACTCCTTTGGCATACATTTCAGACACAACTCACAAGATTAAATTTGGAAAATTGGAGCTGCAATGGGCTATAAGGCTGTTGTGAAAAAAAATCTGATGGACCAGTGTCCAGTCCAAACCTCTAGTAAGCCCAGACCAAGGCATGACCTAAGGTTCCTTTAATGGGTCCAATAAATAATGGAGTACATATACTCATAAATAAGGCTGGCTATATATTTTTGCGTTTTCATTGGATTGAAAGCCCATCACCTACAAGTTCCAATTCTCCATTTTAAACTCTTCAGGGTCAAATTGGATCAAGATTTTCAATGCATTCTGAGTAAAGAAGCCTTTTGACATTCAAATCCAAATCTGAAAAGGGCTAGGTTGGTATAGCATTTATATACAAGTAAAAACGTTGTTTTTTCTTAAAATCAAATAGTACAAATACCAAAAAAAAAAAAAAAAAAAAAAAAAAAAGAAGCGTATAAAGGAAATTGTTGTTCTCAAGAGATTGACATTGGCATCCATTTGTAAATTGACTCTAAATATAAGCCTATTTTAAAATTCAGCTGAGCAAAAAGAATTCAATTGTTCAAACAAGTTCATGTCATGATTCATGCATCAATGGGTGTAGCTTCATGCCATGATATAATAATGGTAGTCCAACGGCCAACCGTGGTGCACGCAGAAGAATTATACTAAATTTTTAGCAATCACAAAGTCAGAAAACAACAATCTTTGTTTTTTTTTTTGTTTCCTTTTCATTTACGTTTTTGATAAATAAGATATTTACAAGACAAAAGGCAGATTGTATACATAATATATCAATCTGATGCACATATCAAATTATCATGTTCATTGTTCAAACAACCTATTGAATGCGTGTGTGAATTTAACTAAGTAGCTAGATTAGCTAGATTAACGGACAGTGATCTAATGATACATGTGTCAAACGACTCAAACCCAAGAAAGGAAGAAGTAAAAGGCTCACATAATTAGTCCATATAATAATATAAAACAAATATATTGTCATATAATAATATAAAACAAATATACTGTCAATTACGTGGCAGTTGACAACAGTGTAGTATGGACCTTCCACCACCAGAATAGGGCAGAAAGGTAAAGAATATGCTAAATTCCCAAACATTGTTCTTGGGTAAACATGGGTCCCACTCCCCTTGTCCATACCAAACTTAAAACTTTCAATTCAACAACAAAAAACTATCCAATATAATTGAAGGAAAGCTTAAAACCAAACCTTCTGACCTCACTACCAACAACAATATGTGGAGAGTAGGAAGTCAGTAGAAGACAATGTGGATAGGCAGGCGGGCTCTCAACAACCACACAGTCATCAAGTGTGTCAATATCCCTCATTTACTTAATTTCTGATAGGCCCCACATCACATATAATCTTGCCCTTATGAGGACCCCATACATAACCCATTGCATGGGTCACGATATCAGATTGCCCTGCCCTTCTTGAATGGCTTGAATTCACCACTCAACCCAATCCAATTCACTGAAAATTTAGACCATCTATTCAGAATAATCAAATGCAACTTAATTGTATTGGGATTTTATTATTATTTTTATTATTTTTCCCTTGACGTACCTGACAAGAAACATATTTATACACTCACTTTATAAGTCGCTACAAAGATACACTATGTTAAAGACGTATTGTTTTGCTAAATTAATCTACCCAATGCCCTGCATCAATCCATGGTACCAACAACTCACACCAATAGTTGAAACAATCATTAGAGTTATAAATGAGATCATCCATTTTTCTTCTGAAATAATTTAAAGCTGAACAATATAACGTAGGAAAATATAAATCTCATTTAACAATGAACCCCATAACATTACAAAATTCAGCACTGGTCCAAGAGTTGGTAGTTGGTACAAATTTATGAACATCATAAACCATCATTTCTCTATTGATCTTGATTCAGGTTGCAGACTCAGCTGCTCCACTGAAGAAGACAGAAGGGACAAAAAGAAAACTTCATCTTTTATTATGAAATGTGAGAGGCCAAGAACTGCAGTGTCACTTGAGAATGGACTCTTCACTAACTTTCCTAATTCAAACTTGTGTAAACAATTTCAGTTGTCTACCGGCATCCAAGAACCTCAAATGACAAAGCCTAGCAAATTGATTTAGCCGCTGCTACAACAGCCTCTGCTGTAATGCCATACTCCTTGTAAATTGTCCCCGCTGGTGCACTTGCACCAAATTTGTCAATCCCGATTGCCTTCCCTTTGTTGCCAACAATCTTTGCCCACCCAAATGTTGACCCAGCTTCAATGCTAACCCTGGCCGATACAGCTGCTGGTAGAACACTTTCCTTGTAAGCATCTGATTGATCATCAAATAGCTCCCAAGAAACAAAGGAGACAACTCTTACGGCCTTTCCTTCCTTTCTGAGTTCATCAGCAGCTTTGGCGGCAATTTCCAATTCAGAACCTGTTCCAATCAAAATGACATCCGGCTTATTACCCGAAGAATTGTCTGATAAAATATATCCACCCTTCTCTACTCCTTCAATGGAACTTCCAGGAAGATTGGGAAGTTTTTGACGAGAAAGGGCAAGAACAGATGGTCTCTTCCTGTTGAGGACAGCAACCCTGTATGCACCAGCTGTTTCATTGCCGTCAGCTGGACGGAGCATCAAAATATTGGGCATTGCTCGGAAGCTTGCCAAATGCTCAATAGGCTGATGGGTTGGGCCATCTTCTCCAAGTCCAATTGAGTCGTGGGTCATGACATAGATAACTCCAGCTTCACATAAAGCGGAAATCCTCATAGCCGCTCTCATGTAGTCAGTGAAAACGAAGAAAGTTGCACAGTAGGGAATGAGGCCAGGGCTGTGGAGGGCAATCCCGTTGCAGATGGCTCCCATGCCATGCTCACGAACACCGAACCTGACGTTACGTTCTTCTGGCGTGTTCTTTTGGAAGTCCCCAAACATTTTCAGCAGGGTCATGTTGGAGGAAGCAAGATCAGCACTGCCACCAAGAAGGCCAGGAAGAACCTTTGCGAGGGCATTAAGGCATTGTTGAGAGAGATTTCTGGTGGCATCAGCAGGGCTCTCTGGAGTGTATGTCTGAGAAAATGCAAGTAAATGATCTTAAAAATGATAGGTAGTTTTTATATAATGCTAAATCAATTTTTGATCACACAACTTAAAGTCAGGAGCTTATGAGGAATTTCAAAGTCAGGCCAGTGAATCTGAATTTGTTAAAAATTGCCTACCTACAACTTATAAAATAATAAGTTAATGCAGGGGATGAAAAATTTGCTCAAAAATGTTTTCAGCGAAAATTTTGGTACCACTTCAACCTAATAGAAAAATGTTGGCTAAGAAAGCTTTTGTGTTCATGTTCAGTTAGCCAAAATATAAAATTGTTGTTGAACAGATTAGCAAGGACAAAATGAAGACCAAACAATAAAATCAAAGCAATACTCACTGGAAGAGCTTTCTCCCAACCAGCAGGTAGTTCACCACTGATAATTGACTTCAACTCTGCAGCTTCCTCCTTATACTTCTTCTCGTATTCAGCAAACTTAGCATTCCATTCAGCTTCAAGAACAGCACCCTCAGGGACATGGCGGCTCCAATGCCTACAGGGAGAAAAACCAAATGTATTCATCAGATAATGATCTAAAGATTCAAGTTAATCATAGAAAAGCATAATAAAAGTTTCCATACTTCTTCACATCCTCCGGCACGTGAAAAGGCCCATGAGGCCATCCAAGATTCTTCCTAGTGGCATCGACTTCCTTAGCACCTAATGCACTCCCGTGCACACTGTACGAGTTTGCCTTGTTAGGAGACCCATAACCAATGGTTGTAGTAACCTGTGAAGATGAACAACTCGTCAAAAACAAAGCCCTACTTCTATGAATACCAAGACCCAAAAAATAAAATAATAATAATAGAAGAAAAATAAGGATCTCTTTCTTGAAGCAAATTCAATGAAGAAATACCTTTACCGCACCACAATAATGATTATTAATAGCCTCATTTAGAAATCATTTGTTACATACGAATAAAAAAATGGTGAAGATTCAATAATTAAGCCAGCCAACTTTAATAGACCATTTTAGTTTTTCTCAAGAAGCATATTATGTCTCTTTCCAAAACCTTTCAACTGAAAAATTGCCAGAACTTATCAATAGAACCGTGAAACTTGCATGAAAATTAAACGCACATATGTAAAACCGTCATTCCTCCTTGACCTCACTTTCCTAATCTACTGAAATCCATAAAGTTAGCATCTGACCTTGATCAAAGTAGGTTTGTCTTTGACAGCCTTTGCTTCCTTGATTGCAGCACGAATTTCATCATAGCCTGTGTTACCATTCTTCACCCAGATAACATGCCACCCAAGACCTTCAAAACGGGTGTCAACACTCTCAGTGAATGCAATCTCTGTGTCACCATCAATAGAGATGTGGTTGTCATCATAAAAGGCAATCAATTTTCCAAGTCCCCAATGCCCTGCAAGGGAAGAAGCTTCATTTGCAATCCCCTCCATTTGACAACCATCACCGAGTATCACATATCTATATTACAGAATGCAAATGCCAACAAGTCAAAATAAGATGAAGCCCTACATAAATTTAATATCTAAGTAGAGAACAAGCTAAACACAAATATCGAAGAAGTAATTTTACGTGTAGTGGTCAACAATTTCACTGTCGGGTTTGTTGAAACGAGCAGCCAAATGCTTCTCCGCAAGGGCCAGGCCAACAGCATTGGCAACACCCTGACCAAGAGGGCCTGCATAAGATTGAAGCAAAGATAAATATGACGTACATAATTTCTATTGAACTTATACAAGCAGAAGAACGTAACTCTGAAGAGTGCCCTCTTACCAGTGGTCACTTCAATACCAGGGGTCTCAAAGTTCTCAGGGTGACCTGGGGTTCTGCTTCCCCACTGACGGAAACCCTTCAAGTCTTCTTCCTAGTAGATTGATCCAATACACAAAAAAATTAGGACTGTAAAAATTTGTACTCTATTTTCCACATAAAGTTAAGTTCAAAGTAACCAAAATAACTACAAAAGTAAAAGAGAACAGCATATTTTTTACCCCCAAAAGAAATTGCTTTATTTGATCCACTAAATTATGTGAGAGAGAATCCCAGTTAATTTATCAAATTCAATAACCCAAATTAAAAGGCTAAATTCTGAAACACTACCACATTAACATATAGGTCATATCTGTTACATGAAAGAAATATGTAGGAAAAAGTTACAAAAATAAATAAGATTCAGCAAACAATATACTGAATTCCAACAAGTTTTGACAAAAACAGAAACAGCATGTAATCCATACAAACAAAATTGAAAACAAGTCTATATTGACCATTATAATTTTGTCCAAAGTCCAAATATAGCTTTTCTCAAACCTTTTGCTTTTCTATCTAGGCAAACAGACAAATTTTTAAGAAAATGTAACTTTTCTCTAGCAAACAAAAAACAGATCCACTTACTTTAAAAATAACCCAGATCCTAAATTGATTCACACACAAAAATTTTGAAATACTAATACAGATTTAAAGCAATTGATACATATGTGAGTGTGTGTGTATACAAATAGATACATGCACGTTAGTGTGTTTAATCTGATGAAAACAGAGTATTTAAAGAGACGAACCAGGACGCTGTCGTATCCAGCAAGGTGAAGCAGAGCATACTGAAGCATGCAACCGTGTCCAGCTGAGAGAACGAAGCGGTCACGATTGAACCAGTAAGGGTTCTTTGGGTTGTACCTCATGATTTCATCGTACAGTATGTGACCCATCGGAGCACACCCCATGGGCAGACCCGGGTGACCCGAATTCGCCTTCTCCACGGCATCGATTGCGAGAAATCGGATCGTGTTGACGGATTTCTCGACAAGAGACGTCTCCGTCTTGTCGAGTGTTTCCACGGTGGCGGAGGCGCGGACTGGATTGCGAGAGTTCATCCGCCGGCGAGAGTTGGTGGCGGAGCGAGAAGACAATGAGGATGTCGAAGACGAGGATTTGAGGCCGGAGAAGGTGGGGAGAGAGAAAGTAGAGAGAGAAAGACGGTCGGAGTTGGGGTTTGAGCCATGTTCAGGTGTGGTGCGGGAAATGATGGAGCCGGATACAGTCAGCGATGAAGCAGCAGCCATAGAGAGAGATGTTTTTTAGAGAGAGAAAGAGAGAGGGTGTGTAAAATAGCTTCGACCTCTCCGACGACCCTCTTTTGATTTGTAAGGTGGAGAAAGAGATGGGTCCGTTTATTTTGAGAGAGAGAGTGTATATACAACGCTTGATTGATCTTCTGGTGAGATGGGTGGGGAGATATGACCGTTAGATTTGAGGAAGACAGATCGGGACCGTTGACTGAGGGTAGGAAATGAATGCTTTTGATTTTTTTAGGAATTATATAAATACAACTCCGTATTTGTTTTATTTACTTTCATTTCATTGGATTATCCGCTGACAATTTTATATGTATTATATATATGTATATGTAGGATCCGCCGCCTAGTGGACTGTGGACTCGGTGAAGTTGGATGTGGCATAATTTTTTTTTATTTAATTTTTTTTTTAAACACCAGATGTGGCATAATCAGCATCTGACTTATGTTAATTTTTATCAGGGAGACACTTAACTATATATATATACCCTTAACATAATATAACTTGATATTTGAAGTGAACTGGAAAAACATTTAACTATTATTTTTATATTTTTCTCTAAAACATTTAAATGTGTTTGATATAATAAGATTTGCAACTTCAATGTCAAGAAAGGTTTTCGTGTACAGATATATACCATATAATTGGTGTTATTAATTAATTATACCATATAATTGGTGTTATCAATTAATTATATTTTATTATATAAAAAATTTAATTATTTAACAATTGTTATCGCATTACAGATTAATATTTAATTAGTTAATGATTTCGTGTCATAATACATAATAAGAGTATGAAAGTGCCAAAAATATTGCACCGAGCAAACTTTTCTTGCTTGTTGATAAATGTTCTCATTTAGGCTAGCAGCCTAATTGGTAAAGGTAGAAACGTGGGTATCTAAATATAGCCATAAATGATCTCCTCATTTAGGCTGGCAGTCTAATTGGTAAATGTAGATACGTGGGTATCTAAATAGAGGCATATAAGTTAGTCATGTTTGCCTGTATGAAATTGCAGTTTTAAAATTAGAATAGGTGGAATTGAAAAAAAAAAATTGTTTAATTTTTTGAATTACTTTTTTTCTAATTTTACCAATTTCAATTCCAAATTTCTAATTATGTCCTACTGACCCTAACGGTTCTAATGTTTCACTAATTAAAAGTAGCATTATTTGATGAGTTGTTTGGTCAATAAATTGTAGGGTCCATTTTATAAGATGCCACTATTTATTTCTAATTTATTTATTTCAAACCTATGATCTCATATTAAATTAGAAATAATTAAAGATTTGATCAATGGACTAGTAGTCTAACAATATCATGTTCTTACTTTTTAAATGAAGGTCAAGAGTTCATGCCTCAACGAAGGATAAGCAATCCAAAGTTTTTAGTTGGTTCGGAAAATTTAGATTCAACAGGTAAGAAATCCAGCGAACTTCTGGGTTGGGAAATGACTCATTAAATATAATTACTTCTTCCCTTAATCAAAGTAAATGTAGTGGGATGTGTCGGATTTTCAGGCATGTGTTCTGAACCTTTCCTTCCTACAACCCGCGCAGCTGTAACATACATAGGGTATGGTGCATGTTTTTTAAGTATAGTCTAGAGATGGGAAACACACAGACTCATCTGATGCAGACTTGGGGGCTGTTCAAAAGTGCATTTTGACATCTGCAGCAATTACTAGAGTTCAAAACAATGCCAGATTCATTTTTCACGATCCAATTTTCCAATGCACATAGACCACTGTCTTCACCTAAACAATGAAAATGGGTGGTTGTTGCTGTCGTTTGGCGGAAAAGAAAAAAGAGTTTGTTGAGATGAGGGTCGGTCAAGGAAAAGGAGTAGCTTCAGTCTTTGTGTTGAAGATTTGGTTCAATAGACTTCGACAGAAGTTTAGTTCAATTTTTGACCCCCAAAAAAAATAAAAAAACCATTTACACCTAACGTCCAAATACAACCTTCTTGTACATCTCTCTTCCCCCCTAACACACACAATTGAAGAAAATCCTAAATCATTGCCATTGAGTAGGAGATCTGTCCCAAATCATTACATATATATTTATATGCATGTATATAACCCAATGCTATACCAGTAGTACTTACTTAATCATGGTCTCAAACTCTGCTTCAGAATACCATACATAAAAGCGTTTAATGAGAAAGATCCACTTAAAAAGACAGGTAGCACACTGGGACCCACTAAAAACTACTAAACTCTTTTGCATGGTAAATTCTTTTGTAACCCAAACAGCCATAAAGCAAACCCATAATCTGTAATTGCAAATGGTTGTTCACAAAAGGTGGTACAAGAAAGTGAAAAAGAAAACATGGAATATGAAGCAAGGATCACGAGCTTATAAATTATTGGAGACGTGACAAGTTGGTTTTGTCTCGTAACAGCTAAAGATCATTATGAATACTTTATGTTGTAAATATGAATCTAATATGTCAATAAACATGTAACAATCCACCGCAGTACTTAATTTCATTTTCACGTAAACAGTTGGTTCAATCAAATGTTTAAATAACAACATAGTCCCAGAAATACACAGATGCTTATTCAAACTTTGCAACTGTTTGCCCCTAACTCCCAACTTGAAAATGAAAACGAAGCAATAAAAAATTTGCTATTTTTTCCTTGAAAAATTAAAAAAAAAACTGACCTAAATTACTTGGTTACATTTTCAAAATAAGTTTTTTTCTTTTTTTTTTTTTTTTTTGTTTTCGGCATATTCAAAATAAGTTAAAGATGTGAGGATATAATAAAATCCAACAATATGGCACATCTTATTCCAGCGACTCCAACCATCACCATCCCCTCCAAGGGTACAAATCCAATCAATGGTGGGAGTTATATCAAAATGGTACAGATTTTAATTCAACATAAGTAAACAAAAGCAAATCTTACAAAGAGTTCTATCCATTTTAAAGAATACCTTTGCCAGCAAGTAAATCTTCAAGACTGGCTGCGATTTCACGACCGAGTATGGAACCTTCCCTTGATGCCACTGCATTATCCTAAAATGACAATGTTATCGCTAATCTCTTTTTATTCTCCAATCTGAACTTTTTTCAGGGTGAAAATGGCAAGACTTACCACAACTGGAGATCATTTAATTCAAAGAAATGGTATTGCTTGCAAATGAAATAACCATATAAACAATTGCGAAGCCAGTTAAGACTGTTGCTGTAGAGATGCCTGAATGACAGATGTAAGAGATGGATGAACTCGGGCCGTTCTCAAAGAGCGAGCTTCACTTCTTCCTCTGGCATATTCCTCCCCCAGTGGCCACCTTGGTCGTAGATCAACCTAATACATGAACCGAACATGTAAAGCTCAAGTTTATGAGAAATAAAAAAAAAAAATATGAAGTACAATTGAAAAAAAAATCCTAACGAACTCAATTCAGACTAAGCTTGCACTGGTCACCTTTATGGACTATGTATAATTGATTTTATTTTATTTAGTAAAAAAAGCTATTTTTTAAAAATATTAAAAGTTGATTTTCAAGGCATATGCAGTCTCTTCTGTAACTATTTAGGTTGCTTGGCCAAACAGTCCCCAATCGAATGGATGATGCTTGCAATTGACAGTGCTATAGTCTGAATGGCCGGAAACTTATTTTTATTGTTATAAATTATACTAGACATAAATCTTTTGTAAAGCATAAAGAACTCACCCAATTTATGGCTCAATAATCTTTTTGAGCTTGATGTAGTAAATTAATAATTTAAAGAAACTGGGTGGGAAAGAAAATAGTTAGACAACTTCATATGTAAGGGTTCATCAACACAACCATTGACTACGTCGCATCTAGGAATAATGATAATGATGATGATGCAAACTGAAATTATAGTACTATTCTGAAAATGCTCAGACCAATGACTGAAAAAGTTTTATTTTCCTTTTTCCACAAGCAAGTTGGCAGTAAGAAGATCATGTTACACGATTCTACTTTATAATAACACATCCAGCAAACCAAATGAAATGCTAGTGACATAAATCAAAAACAGTAACAAGGAATCAAAGTATGCAAACAAACCTTAGTATCTTCAGGTTCATTGGCAGGTGGTGGAGGATCAAATCTTCCCACACGGAATTGCTCAATACCAGTCCAAGCAACCATTACCCCTACTCAGATGAGGAAAAGACATCAGTCTTCCATATGAGATCATGATGAGCTAACCTTTCAATAAGCAACATTATATATATATATTTACATCTAGTCAACTTTCTGAAGCATCAAATGCTGCTGACCTGTTGGTCCAGAAGAAATTACATTATAAGTTATTCAGATTAATTATCCTGTAAGTTTGCTGATAGGAGGCAAAAAAAACAAAGATATGGAATCTAAGTACTACAATTACAATGGAACGTCAAGTATGTCTATATCCCCTGTTCATGTTTAACAAAACACCATCTGTTTTGTATCAAACTATACAACATGAACTTCTGACGGATACTGCTGCTTTTAGGTGATGAAGGAGAGTGCATAAGAGCACATTATAGAAGTTATATGCAAAATTATATATGAATGCTGCTGTTCAGCATCTAATTATTATCATTTTTTAAAATAAAATAAAAAAATTTGTACCAATGAAGGAAATTTTCTGTTTAACACTTATAATAGCTCAAGACACATTATAATCATCTCCATCTAAAGTTGTTCCAAACATCATAGATTTCATGTCTGACAAGCACTCTCACATAACTTACTCAGACTCTCTTTTATCCACTGTGTCAAATACAATCAATGTGAGCCAACACACAAGGAATGACTCACCGTTGTCAGTACAGAGGCTGGGAGGAGGACATACAAGTTGCAGGCCGTTCTTTGTTACAACCTGATTAAGCCGAGACCTGACATACTGATTTGATGCAACACCTCCAGAGATTACCTGCAGTAGTCATGACAAGATTGGCATCACTGATTGAAACATGATAAGAAAATAAACAAACATATGTTGCACCCAGTTGGAATGGTTTAAAGTAAACAAAAAAATTGATAAATTGCACTTCACATCACCAAATATTTAATGGAAGGGTCAATATCCAATGCCCACTCAATTGCTCGTTCACACCTTTCCTCTAGATGTAATACTGCAACACGCTGCATGATGCATTAATTATAGGGGCAAAAGAAATAAAGAAGAGTCCAAAGATAACATATACACTATGGACTCATTTCAGTTTAACTATGTGACAGACAGACGCTACTTAAATGATGTATATAGATAATTATTACCTGGAAAGAGGCGGCAATATCTGCACGTGAATTTCTTTCTTGGGTGCTCGCTGAAGAAATGGGAATTTTGGCATTTCTGCACATAGCTTATACATGTATCAATAGATGGAAAGATGAGAGAAACTATTGAAACATCTGAATAACTCATTGGCCAGTGGTTCACTATCACATTATATTCATAACTCATGTAGTAGGCACCAACAATATTTATCACTGATACACCTCCAATGATGTATTTTCCACACCACCTGGTGACATTTTAGTGGCTAAAAAACCAGGTTGAACAGACTAAATTGATCAAAGCTAATAGAACCAGGCCATTCCAAAGTAAAATTGGTTTAATTTGTGATTTTCACCTTGAAGAATTCATGACCCAAAACCCCATTACAGATAGTATTTCATGAAGTAAAAAAAAATATATGATTCAATTGCATTCCTAATTTTTTTTTCTTTTTAGAATAATATATAAAAAGCATCATCAAACACCGGAAGAGCTTTCTTCAATACCCTCTTCCAACTTTTAGAGACCAAAGCATCTCCCTTCCAACTTTTAGAGACCAAAGCATCTCCAACACCAATTAAACCCGCCGCGGCCCCCCCCCCCCCACCCCAAAAAAAAAAGTTCTCACAAATGTAGAAAGATTTTTTTTTCTAAAGTAGGTAAGCTTAGATATTATCAATGATAAGCTCAACAAATCTGCCAGCAACAGCCTCTCACAACTTTAGGGAAAGGCATACTAACCATCTAAAATGAACTCTCACAGTAAACAAAGGAAAGATAATCCAATTACCATCATACTCCAAGCACGAAACCATACCACAGGCCGCCAAAGAAAACCTCAAAGGCACACATGGGTCACCTCAACTCAATAAGTTGCTAAAATAGCAAAGACATTGGCCACCTTATTCAGAAGTTTGTTAGTAAAGGATATCTAACAATACTTGGAACACTAAAAAATTCCCTAACAAGGAAGAAGGTAATTATAACAATAAAGTCTTGTCATTTTTATCTTTAGAGCCAACAGATTCAGTAAACTTGTGATATAAAGCATGTGCTAGGAATTAGTTGTTAGGGCTCTATTGAAGCATTATTTCTTTACTTAATAGAAGAAAAACAAACAATAATGGGCTATGGGCACTAATTTGTATCTTAAAGTTTTCTAACTTGGCATGCAGAAATGAAAAGCACCAAAGCAAGCATTTATTTTTAGGAAAATTAATACCAGAAAAAGCTATAGATCTTTTGAGATAATTTACATACATATTTTTGGATTCAATTGCCAATCTCACTTGAGTCTTCAGACCAGCATATGAGAAGTTGCAATCTTTATGTTGTTTCATTGGCACCTAAGAAAAAAAGTCTCAAACTTTTAAGACAATGCGATAACCAGAGTCGTATAACATAACCTTCTGACACTGAAAAACTAGAAAATAATTTACAGAGAAATTGACTGATCCTGCATCACCCTCTTGGGCAAGCTCCTCTATAGCCGGGCCCCCACTCCTCCTCAGATCAAGACCAAGCCATTTTGCTGTCTTATCATATGCCTCACCAATTGCATCATCTATTGTAGTCCCGAGTTGTATATATTGACCAAGATCACGTGCAAGAATTAAAAGATTGTGTCCTCCTGAGAAACAAATAAATAAAGACAATAAATGTCATAAGCCTCATGACCAGAGGTATTCAAAAGATGAAATATCGTTTCTCTCTAAAGATACTAAAACATGGAGAAATGGACCAAACTCTGAAGTTCTCCTCTAGTACTGAAACTGAAAGGTCCAATAATTTAAGAACAAATCAATCCGTAGGAAAAGAAAGAACCTAGAGAATCCCAAAAGTTTGTAAAACATGCCTAAACTCATCCTATACGGCAACATATGAAAAGATGGTCCACCGACTCATGGAGAATTAGTCTTTATTGGGGGTACCAAGACCTAGACAAGGCAGCCACTGCTGGACACTAAAATTGTAGGCCTTTGATTATGGTAGGCTTCATCACATCAGCATAACTTTGCGGGTCTATTTGGCATAAAATCCATGAAAATATGACATTATGATATAGTAGTAATTAAATATTATTAGGAGATCTTCCCAATACTACTGAGGCATTTCTAGTTTTATAGAATGTTTAATGATTTCAGGAATAGAATTTGGGACATTGTTTCTATTTTGTATAGGATTGCCTGGTGTAGTAGTAAAAACTCAAGCTATCAAGTGTGAGAGCACGAGTTTGAATCCTGAGAGCAACCCCTTTATGCAATTAATGCCAAAGGTCAAGTCTGTATCTAATTTACCCCTCCCGACACCCTTGATTAATGAAATACTGGGTAATTTTTTACCCTTTGTTTCTATTTGGGGTATAATTATAAAATGTGTCTTTGTGTTTTTATGGTTTTGTAAGACTTATAAATAGGCTTGTTAGAGGAAAAATTGGTACAAATATTGAATATCTGAACAGCCTTTAGCTCTCGTTTCTCTCTCTCTCTCTCCCCCCCTCTGATTTACAGTTGTAGAGCTTGGGAACTTTGGCACATTGATCTCTGATTGTTTTTGACAACTCAAGTTATATGAGGCGCCTTTGTGAATGGGCTGTAAAATGCCAAATCCCCCTTAATTCATTGATTTTCCCAGCCAGCATTTGAAACTTCTAGTGGTGCTCTAGAGGAATGGACCTATTTTTATATCTTTTGAACTAGACAAATTATGACTTTACATGGTTACTAAAAAGTGAACTTCTAAGCAACATGAAAGTTAAATCATCCAAACATTAATTGACAGTCTGACACACATAAATGTAGGCAAAAGTATTACAATCCCTCAGAAGCCTCCACTCTCCATTTACACTTCTTTTTGACCAATGATGTGTCAGTTGCTTGTGCACAGTCATAAGATTGTTTTGAGAATCTTTCTTTCTTCTTTCTTTTTCCCCTTCTGATTAGGTGATTGTTTTAAAGATCAGAAAAACAATTTTTACCTATCAAATATCAATATATATATATAGTTAAAGTAATTTTTATATCTATTTCCCTCTTATCTAAATATGCAAACACCATCTCAACTTATAAACTAGAAGATGAAGTAAAACAAACCTAAATGATTGCAGAAGTAAAAATTCATACCTGAAATGAGCAAGGCCATGAAAGGAAACTGCAAATCTCTCTCAATTAATCTAGACAAAATGGAATTCACTTTCAGGTTGTAGTAGATGCGATACTTGAGTGCATATAAAAGCATAGCCATCCAATTTTTTTGGGTCAAGGATAGCAACTAAATACAGTTTAGCTAATATCTGATGTTTGCCCTATTTGGATTCTTCCATATTTTTAGTGTAGCACAGCAATGCAACCTCTTAACTTGTATTTAACTCCATGATTTAGAATATGACTTCGTCTTCACTTTTCATGATCATTAAGCAAGATAAAAAATTAGTAAATCTCAAGTACATACCTGGCTACTAAAGCATGAGCTTCCATGTGATGGACACCAATAATAGGGAGATTGAAACTACCAGCAATTTTCCTAGCTTTCTGCACACCAACTATGTTGCAATTGCACAAAGAAGGTATAAGACCTCTTTTTAAAATATTATTTCAACCCAAAATACTAAATTGAGTCACATGACCGAGTTTTTACTGTACTCAACAACTCTGAGCAACAATTCTCGATATAGTGTAAGATAATAGCAGAACTGATATAATTAATGAAGTAATCATTAAATTTGTCCTCAATCAGATAGCCCATAAAATACCTCCTCCAAACTACTAGGGTTCAGCTCAACAGTGCAAAATACAGAATAATAATAATAATAATAATTATAGTTTTAACAATTCCAATACCACGTAGACAAAGGCTTAACCCAGGACCAATAGTGACGGCAACTGCAGAAAGATCCTTCTCGATTAAATTAGCTTTATCAAGTGCTTCCTGTACAACCTAAAACAATGGCAAGCAGATATTAGCAAACTAGTACGGAGGCATGACAGAGATTAAAGTTTTACAGATTTTGATGCAAGGTGATTCACATGGCACAAAGACAAGCAAGTGTATAATAAAGACGGTTTATGCACTGTAGATGTACCTGGTCAATCACTTGTGAGTGTGCTTCTTCTGCCATTTTAGGAGCAACTCCACCATATTGGGCAAGCAAATGTGCCTTGATGTAGAGAAAATTTAATATTAATAGCTACATGCATATATTATAAGCAAAAATTGTCAGTTTTATTTATTTTTTCAGGTTGCTAAGAATTAGCACAACACCCCAACATATTGGTTCTCTAAATTTTCCACTCTCGCTCTTCTGGTAAGCCTTAATAGGCCATTTTTTGTAGTTCTAGCTCATGAACCTTGAAAGTTTAAGTGCAATCAGAAACTCAACAAAAGAAGCTCACTTCTACATTCTAGGGTTTTTTTTATAATTATAGTTGGGTACCCCTAACTAGAGAATGCATATCTTCATTTTCGGTGGTGACTTTCTTTTTCCTTTTGGAGAAATTGGATAGGTGAAACCAACCTGTTTTACACTTGCCCAACCTTTCCTTGCTGCAACCAACTTCATATGTGCCACCCTCTTTGCAACACCTTCCAGTTGAACCAATTCACTCGTCCAATCATTTGCCATTGATGCATATGACTGAACAATCTCACCAGCTCCTCTCATTTTGTTCTCAAATAATGCAACCTCTCATTTCTTATAAGCGGGTTCATTTCTAATTCTTTTCTCAAAACTTATCACTCATCCATCTCTACGTCCTCATTCCAGTTAAGCTAATATTGATTGAACTTTTATATTATTGACTGCAGAATTTCTAGCACAGAGTAAAAATTATCTTCTAACCATTTACTCGGAATTATATGCAAAAGCCATCAACCAATGTAGGTCCCCTCTATGTAGGTTGTTGGGAGGAATGAATTGCATACATACGTAATGTTTTAACCTTATCATGCACATATTGGCTACTCTTAATCTCAAACCACATTACACTTGAAAGATCTCAAGTTTACCACCACACACATCTTTAATAAGTATTAGTTGAACCAGAATCTACTAGATGAAACCAACAAAAAAAAAAAAAAAAAAAAAAACATGTACCAAAAGCACTTCCCCTCCCAGTTATAGTTCTTGGCTATGTCCCATTCACTTCTACAATAACACACTCCCAGTAACAAATCGGCACCATGTGGAATCTCGTGGTCCTCAATCAGTCAATCTTCACTATTAACTCCATTTTATTCCTGATTATATATAGCTAAGTAACCATAACAATTGATGTTAAAATATATCTTCATAGTTCCAAGTCCTAACTTGGACTTATCTCTAGTCAACTCTTAGCAACAAACACAATGAGACTAGCAAACAACATACACCGTTGGAATTATTACAGGACATCCCCCATTAGAACGCCCATCAAAATGCAAAACTGCCACCGCAAAGGTAATCACCTCTCTTTTTTAACAGAACTCATAACAAGTACTGCCCCATCATGCCTGTCATCAATTAAGTCAACGCATACATTGATTCTGCTTTATTTTCTTAAACCAACCACTATTGTCTCCCCATCAACTCTTAATGATTAATAATGATCATATTGACTTGTCATTTTTTCTTTGCAAGATTTTATCCCATTTAAACATCTTGGACTTCAAACGAGTGTAAATACCCATGGGGGAAAAATATTAGGTAAATTCATGCAGCTGTGAGAGGAAATTAATAGTTGACCATTGTTGCTACAAATGTTAGAAGCATACAATTTAAACGGCACCAATTCAAATGTTGCAGGATTTCTAAAAAATGTAAAAAAGATACCAGTAAAAGAATAACTAAAAATCACCAGGCCATTGGAGAGAAGAACCATTTAGACCCCACATGGGGCAATAAAAGAGGCATGAAAAAAATATAAACAGAGTAGGAAAAAATCAAATGCATACTTGAATACCCCCTCCAAAAAAAATAGTGAACAAATTATGAAAAATAAAAAAATTATGAATAAAAATAATAATAATAATCTACATGATTACTGAACAAATTAGTGCAAAGGGTTGTCGCAGATGCACGTTGTTTCCAACACAAAGTAGAGTAATAAACACCAAACTGAAAACCAAAAAACCTAATAAATATATACATGTGTTATACAGAAAAATACACACACTACCTGAGAAGACACAACTTGGCTAAGAATTTCACCATTGCTCCGAACCTAAGATCAGACAAGTACATACAATCAAACTCCAAAAGGCCACATCTAATATCTTCAAATTGAAAAAAGCACAGTCTGATACAAAATATAAATGAAATACACATATATGTAAAACTTACAACTGCGGCAGCAGTATCGTCGCAGCTTGTCTCGATGCCTAGGACAACCAAATCATCATCGTCCATAATTGCTGAATTTCCGCTACAGGGTTTGGGGGAATTGAAATTTGAAGTAGAGAGATGAGCTGACAAACAATTGAATGAAGAGTTGAGAGGAGACCAAATGGGTCTTCGATGCAGTGGTAATATTCTAAGCCCTCTTAGCGTGTGCTGAAGCGAGGGTCTGGGAAGAAGATTTAGGCGGGAAATAGTTGAAGAAAGGGTCGGCACCAACGACGCCATTTTCACTTATGTGTGTGTGAGAGGGAATTTACAGAGAGTTGCGCTTGTGCCACACCTCCAAACGATTCGGATTCGGAATCCATCAGAATTTTATCCAAATTGATTATATATAAATAAATATTTGTATACCATCGCATCAACAAAATTTGTTAATCCGATCCCAATTTGCGAAAGAGATATATATATATATAAAAAATATATATTAATTCTCATAAGTATTATATTTAATAAGTTGATTTTTTTTTGTATGAAATTATGAATATATTCGCATAATATTGTTTATTTATTGGAATATTAGTATGTGTATAAAACTGTTACATTATATATTTTTTATGATTAAAAACTAGTGATTTTAAGGAGGATAAATTTGTCACCTAGCTAGCCAGAGGATGAGCCTTGGACTCTTGGACGACAACATCATATTAGAAATGGAAAAGAGTCTAGGTTTTTTTTTTTTTTTTTTTTTTTGGGTGCCTATTGTGAATTCGGTCAGCTCTATCTTAGAATTTTAAAATTACAAAGACTTGTAATTTCTTATTTGTTTTCAAAGTAAAAAATTATCGTCAAGAAGTTTTGGTACCACTCCTGCGAATTTTTTTAATAATTGTTTTATACATGTTGAACAAGGAAATTACATATATTCGGTGATGAATTATGAAGTGCTTTAAGAGTTTCGATATCATCTTTGTCAACAAAAAAAAAGACTTTATTACATAATGATTTTTTAAAAAACAATTGGTCTTTTGCAAATTTACCAACAGAGATATAATCCCAACAGACATTTAATCTAAATAGGTTATTTTAATCCCTTTTTTTTTCGTCCATTTCCCAACAAAAATCTTGTAATATTTTTTACAATATTTTAATTAATTTTCAAAGATAAATTGTATTGCTTATATTTTATATAAGGGATACCTTACTGAAACTTGAACAAATTACATGTGAATAAATTATTACTTTAACTTTCTCTAAATTCAAATCTCGAAGGTGGCTTAAGCATGAAAAGTCTTTAAAATATAATAATATATTATTATATGCATTTTCTACAAATGAATGACAAAAGTACTCATGCATCAAATCTCATATAATAAATGCTCAAGGTATGCAATTTGCCCAAACCTATGGAGGTGAGTGTAATTTAGCCTTTATATAAATTAATTTCCAACTTAACCTTTATATAAATTAATTTCTCCACTAAATACGTTTTGTTTCTTTTATCGCCCGGTAAATGAAATTTTTTATTAGAAGAAAGAAGGAGTTACACAAAAGGGCAACAAAAGGCCCAATGCAAGCCCAAGAAGGCAAACAACAGAGAAACGGGTAAAAGCCCAACAGACAAACCAAGATGCATGAGAACCACCCAGAGGGCAACTACTAACAAATTCCAACCGACAACTGAACAACAAAGCTGCACCTGTATTAAAGATGAGGATTAGGTTTGAGAGAAGCAATGCTCGACTGTCATAAACAGAGAGGAGTCTATTCCGAATATATATATATATGTGTGTGTGTGTGTGTGTGTGTGTGTGTGTGTGTAGAGAGAGAGAAAGAGAGAGTTAATGCGTTATGAAGTACATTAGAGGCGGAGGAAAAAACCCAAGGCAGAAAAGATTCTGGAATTCCTCTCTCTCTACATATATCAAGGTATTATAAATTAACACATGCAGCTTGCTAGCAAGGCTCAATTTACATATATGAGAGATCAAATTAATTCTCACAATTTGTCTGTTTTATTGTAATGTTTTAAGCATTAAGTCTGTTTTGTTGTAATGTTTTTATTTGCCAGACACGATGGACTATATTCTCTACAAAACATTATGTTAGTGAAGATAGAATTTGCATTTAATTAGTCATAAAATACCTAAAGTGGGAAGATGTGGAAATTAGAATTGAAGCCGAGACAGATGAACAAAATACCATGTCGAGATCAGAGAGTGATGGGAAGGAAATTAAAGGGAATGCTAATATAATCTTCTTTTTTTCACTACCATTTGGATCATTTTCTATTCCTTTACCTATTTCTTTCTTCGTTCAAAATGGAAAGTTGATAATGGTGACATATATATGCATTGCATATTATAGTTATATATATTCAACTCGATATATATATAAACAAGGTTAGCCTCCCATGCAGAGTCATCTTGATATATGTATGTACAAAAATTATATTATCTCTTGCACACCAGTCACTAAGAAATTTATCCACACCAAATATAATAAAAGTTGGATATGAATATTGCTAGTAGTATATTTTTTTTAGTAGTTATCGTTTTTACAATTAAATCATATATATCCAAGAGTCACCATGCTTGGTGTAGAGAAATTAAGTTTCTTACTTAACAGTGTGAAAGAGATATATCATTGCTGCATGAATATATATGTGTGCGTATATGTGTATAAATAAATGAACATAGGAGTATATATTAGTGCACACCCACACAAACATCAATTTATGTAGATCTAGATATTAGTTTTGTAAGTTGACTGTGGACATTGAATGGTTTTTTCGAGAAACAATGAAATTAAGGTAAATCCTAGAAAAGAAAGAAAGACACACGTATAGATAAACAAGAAACTTGATGATTAATTAAATAGGGAATATGAGTACTGGTCGTCAACACTTGACTTTGGGAAAGAAAAGAAAGAAATTAAAAAAAACTCCTTTTTTCGGAAATTAAAGAGTATTGATCAATTTGATCCTCAACAGCTAGCTACCATGGATGCACATATGTAACCGGGCATAATTAGATTGAGAAATGATATATAAGAAAATTAAGGTTGAAGATATAACATGCATGCTTAAGAGCTATGAACAACAAATTAAGATCTTCATTTCGAGTGGGTTCAGAGAAATTAGATGTTGAACTTCACAAATTAACATTCTAGTCTTCAAAATCCTCTCCCACTAGCTACCATAAGATCACAGAAGCCAAACAACCCCAAACAGCGCGCATGTTAACATTGTTCTAGCTTGAAAGATAGGAGCTAATAACTAGAGTCCTAATTTGATGATGATCATAAAGAGATTAAGAAAAGTTAACAAAGAAACCCTAATCATGTGATCCTTCACTTCACGAGTACTTCTTAATTAGCTAGTAAGGGGACACACCCAAATTGGCAGGAACAAGAAATCCATCTTTCATCGTAACATCATCTCCTTCCTACACAATACCCAAAACACTGTTTCAAATATTCTGAATGCATATACTTTTTGTGCAGTGTTATAATGTGAACAGTATGATATATAAAGTATGCCTGTAACAGAATGGTTGCTTAGGGTTTAGACTTTAGAGATTACCTGCTGGCGCACATTAGCTTTCTTCACGGGTTGTTCAGGCATAAGTCCGAAGTGAATGTGGGGGAAGTGGGCCCACTAAAAGCAAGAAAACAATACATCCTCAAGTCCAAAATCCATATCAATGTACTACTACTATACATACATAGTGATACATTATATATGTGTGTGTGTGTGTGTGTGTGTGCAGGTGTATATATAACTGTATATATACTATATGTGTGTGTATAAGGAAAGCAAAAGAAAGCCTAAGATACTTGAGATTGAATTATTCCTTGGATCTTACGTTCTTTGCAGCCTTACTGAAGGCCTCCCTGTGACTTATATCAGGATTTCCAGCTTTGATACGTTGGATCTCGTCTCTGCAGGTTCATACACATTCAATATATATATATATATATATATAGTTCAAATAAATGCTCTATATATATGTATGCATGTATTCATTCATTTTCCATTCCATTGAGATTTTTTAAAAAAATATTATTGATAAAATGAACTAAATTCATTTTAAAATAAATAAAATTAATAGTAGTGAAGCTAATGTATATACTCCCTAAGGTCCCAAAATAGTTTCCTCTTCTAGGATGTTCCAAGATAAATGTGTTGGTGTGAAAAATTAATAGAACATTTTTCATTAAAAAGAACTTTTCTAAATTAATTATGCTTAAATTTTGAAATTTTTTTCAAACTAAAAGTGTGTGATTTTTAAAGAATAAAGGAAAAAAAAAAAATTAAAGTTTTGAAAATTTAAAAATGGACAATGTTAAATATATGTGCTCTAAAATGATTTTAAATCTCTTCGTGAAATGTTTAATTTTTCATCTTCCTTTATCCTTATCCCATAAGTACTATAACGTCTGAATCAATTGAGAACCTTTTCTTCTCCGTATTATTTATTTTGGAAGAGAGCTGATTCGGAGTACGAACTTTGAACAGTAAATTTGAGATGGAATGTGGGTCCCACCACGTTCAATTGATCACATAAAACAATTTTTCATTTTGGAATTGAGAGGTGTGTGTATAACCAACATATAAGTACTTACTTATTTTTATTTTAATTTTTTTAATTGAAAGGTAAAGGATATAAAAAAAAAGTACTTACTTGATGAACCGGTTGTAGGCAGATGGGACTCTCTGTCTCTTCTCCGGAGCTGGACATGGACAGACATACAGAGACAAACAGACACACATTAAAAACACTTTGCTGACTTTCTGTGAAGCTCTGCTTTCAATTATCTCACCATCATTACTTCATCATATATATATATATATATATATATATATATATATATATATATATCTCAAACTCTTTGTATCTACCAATGGATTCTACACTATCTAAATTTCCGGGTAAGAGACTGCATGCATTTCCACACCACAAATATGTACATAATAGGAACTTAAAGGGGGTGTTTTTTAGGGTTCAGATTTGCTGTCTATTTGATCAAAAATGGGAAATCAAAGTTGCTAAAAATTAAGAACTACTGTAGGGTCACAAAGGGGTTGTTGGAAGGTGTATAGTAAGAAGTCCCACAGTGAATAGGGTAAAGATAATGATTCATAAATTGGAAGATGTTGAATAACAATGCAAATGAGCTATAGTTTGAAGTTTTAAAGTTGGCCTTTTTGGTGGTACATGTTATATATGGAATAACATAGAGAAGAAAGGAAAACATGAGATAAATGTAAAAATGACCATTCCGTCTTGAAACAAACCAATAAAGTTTACACACTGTTTGGAACTAGACTTAGGATGTACAAGTTTTTAAGTTCTTTATAGGACTACCTTTTCCTAATTGGCTAAGAGACTACTGTATATTAGAAAGACTAAAGTTTAAAGTGTTGAGGAAAAGAATTTCAATTATTCAAAAGAGAAAAGCAATTGACTTCATAGCTGCTTGTATTAGCAAGAAAGTATGCTAGGCATCAGAGAGAGAGAGAGAAATGCGCGAAAGGGTTAATGTGAAGACTCTCACGTCGGTTAGTGACTAGGGGTTTAGGGATCTCATGATGATCAACTCCTCGAATCGGCATGATTGATTCATTCGGATTGGCCTGATTCATTGACATATTTGATGGCAAGCTTCGGATGTCCTCCTAATGTAAACACATCAAATATATAGTCAAAAAATTAACGCCAAGATATAATACGGTTACCCAAAAAGATAAAACAGCTAAATTCACAAAATTAATTTGGGAATGAGGAAATCTTTGGGCTGTAACGCCAAGCATTGGCTTGTGTGATATCTCCTCCACCATTCAAATAATTATTTGGAGAAAGAAAGTCATCGAGTGAATGTGTGTGTGTGTGTTATCTACATAGAAAGTTAAGGGTTGTCATAATTATACATACATATATATGTATGTATAAATACTAAACCCTAATTTGGAATACGATAGTAGTGATTATATACCAGGAGATTTTGAGGAGCAAAGAAAGAATGTCCAAGATGAAGCTGATTAGCTGCAGGAAGAAGCAGGCCACTCATGTTGACAGACAAAAGGTTTGTGCAGTGACCGCATCGAACCGTAACAGTCTTGAACAAACTGCTGCAAGGAACACTGACCTACATACAAGAAATTAAACAAATTAAGAAGCCCATAAAATATATATTAATGAAGAAAAGTAGGGTTAGGGCTTTGTGTGTGAGAGAGAGAAGAGAGACGGAGTACTCATGAGAAAATTGTTAGGGGAAGGGTAAACTAAAATGATGATAAGGTTATAGCATTATTATTAGGGAAGAGAGGGAGGGGGAGAATGTATATATGTATATATATACCGCGAGGACAGTGTCACAAAAGTTGCAATGGACATAACAAAGCTGGTCGGAGGGAGAGAGATGCTGGTGGTGGTGGTCCGATGAAAAGGCAGATGATGAGGAGGACATCTTTTTTCTTTGATGATTCCCTGATTTGATTGATGATTGATTGACTGATCGATGTATATATGTTTGGATTGATGAGAGACAGATTAACCACCTTGGATCTGATATCTCCTTGAATGTTGAGTTATGATCAAGACAAGGAAAGGAGAGAGAGAGAGAGAGAGAGAGAGAGAGAGAGAGGCACCCTATATCATCAGTGTATTTAGCCGAGTGTTTTATTTGCTAGCTCTGTTTACTATAGATCATTCATGTACAGGTTGTAATTGATGTATCATACATACAGAGAGAGAGAGAGAGAGAGAGAGAGAGAGAGTTGTAGAGAGAGAAAGAGAATTGTATGGTTAGCATTCCCGATGGATGAGAGAGACAGAGAGAGAGAGAAAGGGCAGAGGCGGCAGAGGTGGGGGAAAGGAGTGAGAAAGGGACGTGTGCATGGGGTGATTAGCCTTTACCTCATTCAGCTGTTGTTTTCATAGTTAAAGAGGGGTTGTGTAAAGCCTTTTTCTCGCTTCCCAACATATATTTCTTAACACTACCCAACTCAAACACAGCTTATTAAAGCCTTAAAGAACGGGCACTCCCTTCACTTAGCTTTTAGGTAATTACAATAACAACAACGCAGGATGTCTAGAAAAGTCAAATTCATTTCTGTCTAGTCTCTCCCAAGGGCATAATTGGAAGCACAACAAATGTTAAGGGTGCAACCACTAATGGTGATCTTTATTATTATTTTTTTTTCGGAAGGTAAATGGTGATCTTTATTTGTCACCATCACGTTGGTAGCCACAAACCAATTTGTTTCTAGGAATGTACTTCTCTAACATTAACACTTATTAGCTGTGTTTCTTTACCAAAATAAACTACAGCACACACAGCTAATAAGTGTTAATGTTAGAGAAGTACATTCCTAGAAACAAATTGGTTTGTGGCTACCAACATGATGGTGACAAATAAAGATCACCATTTACCTTCCGAAAAAAAAAATAATAATAAAGATCACCATTAGTGGTTATATATATTTCTTTACCAAAATAAACTACAGCACAACACAGCTAATAAGTTTTAATATATATATATATATATATAAAGGTCAAAAATAAGTGAAAAAAATTTGTTTAAACACTCTAGCATGTCTCAACAAGTGGTTTTCTTTTAGTCCAATATTTGCTTCAATTTATTTGAGGTTTAGAGGGTTTATCAAGGCAACAGAATATTTAAATCTTCTGGCATGCATCCTAACTTGTGGCCTACTTAGGATCTTTAATTAACTGCTTTAATTCCATGTTAACTAATAATTACCTGTTATTCTAAAAGTTTAAACTATTAGAAATGGTATAAACTTGATTGGGGATGACAATTTTCTCTGATACAACGGGTTTTCGCGCTTGGCATGCATCCTAACTTGTGGCCTACTTAGGATCTTTAATTAACTGCTTTAATTCCATGTTAACTAATAATTACCATTTATTCTAAAAGTTTAAACTATTAGAAATAGTATAAACTTGATTGGGGATGACAATTTCCTCCGATACAGCGGGTTTTCGCGCTTGGCATGCATCCTAACTTGTGGCCTACTTAGGATCTTTAATTAACTGCTTTAATTCCATGTGAACTAATAATTACCATTTATTCTAAAAGTTTAAACTATTAGAAATGGTATAAAGTTGATTGGGGATGACAATTTCCTCCGATACAGCGGGTTTTCGCGCCGCTCTGCTCCTAATGGGATAGATTTCGGAACTCCTTAAATGAATTTGGGAAGGATATAGTGATGAACCCACCCCCTCTTGCCCCGATTATATATATATATATATATATATATATATATATATATATATATATAATATTTTTAAGACTTTGTTACTTTATTGGAAGTGTCAATTAATATATGATTATTCATTACTTAGTAATTTTAAAGATTGGTAAGTTTATTTAGCAGTCAAATTGAGCACATTGAGTTTTTTTTTTTTTTTTTTTTAATATATAATAAAAGTGACATAACCCGCCCCGCCTCACAATAAACGGAGTACGCGTGGCGAAGTTGGTAAATAAGGGTGGAGATGGTGTACCAAATAAAAACCTTCAAACTTTCCAAGATCATTGTGAGACTCTTTTGCCAGAATTATAAATAAATAAATGTAGGCTCCAAAAAAAAAAAAAAAAAAAAAAAAAAAAGGTAGGAGGAGGAGAAACATATTAACCTAAACAGACCTAGGTGGAGAACGAAATCAGATTATAAATTAAGCTATACTTATAAATATAAATATAAACGACTTAAATTTTCTATTACTCAATTCCATTCCTCCTTAGGAAAAAAAAAAAAAAAGAATTCCATTCCTCCTTATAATATATTTCATTTGAGTACTAATACATATATATATATTTATCTTGCAGATCGTGTGCCCTCCAAGAAACAAAGAGCTTCCTTTTATTTTTATTTGTTATTCATCAATTGCGTGTTTTAGATTGTAAAATTTATCATTTTTATTTGGAGCCATTTTTGTATGACAAGATTTTATTTGTATTGTTGAATCGTCTGTCAACATTTTGGGATGATTAGTTTGATAAGTAGGAGCACTAACAAGAGGCAACCAGATTGTTACTCTGCTATAAATTTTGATGTTCATTATACATATTTTTAACATATTTATATCTCTTTTTTCTCCGGTCAAATCTAATGGGTTAAAAATCACTGTATTAAAAATATATTTTATTAAAAAATATATTAGTACGATTACAGCGGAGGATTCAAACACAACCCCCCCCCCCCCCCTCCCCCTCCCATAAAAAGATGCTCCATCCATATACTGTCAGTGATCGAGAACAAAAGGCAAGAATTATGATACGAGTATATATGTAAAGTTTGTCCTCACATATATATATATATATATATATATAATTCTAAATCTTTTCGAGTAATAATTTAGTTAGGTCTTAACCTCCTCCACGTACACGACATATCCATCCCTACAGGGATGTTACAAAAGTAACCCTAACTTTGCTGAAAAAGATGGGCCTGTCTTTTCCCCAACACAATTGAAAAAACTATCACATCCCAACCTCATTCATGCATGTTTGTGCCCCCAAGCTTTTCTCTTCCCAAAATTGCCCTTAAAAGGTAATATCTTCTCAACAACTAAATCCTCCTAAATTGCATCCGCCCCAACCGATAAGAAAAATTAGTGACATGAAAATGCTGTGACGTTTGGTTTTATATTTTAATATTTTTTTTATTAGTTGGAACAAATACATTGTAATGCATGAAAAGATTTTGATCTATCTTTACACACAGATAAGTTTTCAGTTGGCAGACCTATTTAGTGTTTTAGTCCCAGAATATATTAATTATAAACTTGTTTAATTTTTTAACAATGGTTTGGTCCATCATTAGCAGGTTATTGATGCAATTTAAGCTCTTAAAAAGGACCTAAAACCCTCGGTACTATAATTGGAGACCAAACTGAAAATGACCTAAATATATATTTCTAGATTATTATAGACCGTACTGAATATATATATTCCTCTAACCATTTGCTGTAGAAACTTTTTCATTTTTTTTGGGTGGGGGTGGGGGTAGAGTAAATTTACCAAAATGGGTATCAGTTTATTTTGATCATTTTATCAAGAAGTTCCATGGGATCCTATCTATTCATTGTAAATTTATTTTGGGTATTTTGTGACTAGCCTTCAGTAATGACATAATTCCATTGAAAAACATAGCCAATGCACCATGCTGACATGAAATTGTCACACCAAAAAGGTTGATAAGTTTAAAATTCGTGAAAACATGAAAATTGACTTCCTTTCTAATTAACGGTAAAGTGTAAAAAACTTTTACTCTGTATATAGAATGTGCAGTGCAAATATTTCTTGCTGTTCAAAAAAATTTCTACATTTTTCAAATTGGGCAAATAAATACATTTTCTCAATTTGAAGGCCGAATTACTTAAAATGCCCTTTAAGAAAAAATAAAAATAAAATTTTTTTGTGGATTTTATAAAAAAAAATTTGGTCAAAATTAACTGTCAACAAATATTAAGAGACAATTTGTACCTATTTTCAAATGTCAAAAATTATTTTACACATTTTTTTATATAGCTTGAGTTTTTTTTTTTTTTTTTTTACACTTAACCCTATTTAATCAATAAAAATGATTAGCGACGTGAGATACACAAATTCAACACGCATCCAATTGAATTCTCACCCTTTCCACATGGAAGAGGCAAAAATATATAAGTCTCTAACATTAATCTCATTCAAAATCGGACCAATTAAGTAAGTTGTTCATCATCACTCTCTAGCTTATTAAATGCCAAACAATTAAGTAGTCCTCTGGAGGGCTCACATCAACTCTGCATAGTTGACATTATTACATTACATTGGTTGCAAATTAACCACTTCCCTTTTGCTGAGACGAGAATTTTCACTCCAGTCCTCAGAATAATTGGATCAACTAATTTCAGACACAATATTGTTCACTTTCGATTCTCTTGGACCAAAGAGTTTTTAAGGGTCACTAATTCTAATACTACTCCAGATAGGTTCACGTTAATTACAAGTTTAAAATGCGTTGTGTCATAAAAGGGTATAGAACCTAAATATAACACTTCACATTTTCCAAACAATGTGGGATCATGACACCCTAAAACCTGTCAATGCTCGCCCATATCACACCCGCCCACAGAAATCGTCACATTTAGTCTTTTCTATCATTTTATTTATTTATTTATTTATTTTACCTTTGACCAAAAATACACTTACACACTTATATATCATATGAAAATTTGAAGCATCCACCTTCTAGTTTTACTATAATAGTTTCATTTAAAATAATAATGCGGTAACAATTTAATCTTATAAAAAGATTCTTTAGACATCAATCTCTGACGTTTCAAAATTTTTTGTATTTTTTGTTTTTGTTTTGTTTGAATGGCAAAGTAAATACACACATTTCAAACTCTTCCCATTCTCAAAGAAGAGAAGGAGATTATGAGCCTATTTAGTTTGTAACGGTGAGAAGAGTTTTCTATTTTCAAAATATTAAAAATAAAAAGCTATACAAAAAATTCTCCTTGATCCAATTTTTTGAAAAAGATCTGTTTTCAAAGAGCTGTATTTTATTGTTATCTGAAAACTATTTTCTATATTCTGAATTTTTAAAAATTATTTTCAAAATTACAAACCAAACATGTCCTATATATGATTAGACTAGAGATTCTTGTGTTATTATTTTTACATTTGATTATATCACCATGGTTAAAATATAAAGTTTTTAGGATAGATTAGGAGACAAAACATTAAATTAAGGAGACAAAACAAATTGGGAAGAACATGGCCTGTGACAATGAACTTTACATTTCGGTACATGACATGGATCCATCAAAGGGTCAGATGGTACGGTGCAGACTACACGTAGTAATTGAATGAGTCCTCCTCCTGCTAAATAACTCTCCAGTCCTATTGCCTGCCTCACTGCTGCATCTACAATTTACCCTCTCTTTTCCCATTATATATATATATATATATATATATATATATATATATATATATATATATTTCATTTTCATAAAGAATTACTGTAATTCATATCTTATTTCCAAGCTGTTGTTACGTACAAATCTTATATAATCACTTATTGGTTTAGTAAGGTCATGTAAGCATTAAAAGGCCTTGATCTAGACAAGAAAGACGTTTAATCTAAATTAAATGTTGTGACCGAATGATTGCAAATATTTAGAGTTTATGTTAGGATCCCAAATTCAAATTACACGTTATAACGGGTTAAAACTTGTTTATATAACACACATAACGGGTTAAAACTTATTGGTTTAGTAAGGTCATGTAAGCATTGGAAATTGGAGTATTTGTATTCTGAAATCAATCTGACAATATTCTGAAATCACCCTAACAATAGAATTACAAAATATTGAAATCAATCTATTTCTTCACTTAGTTTTGAAAGAAACTTACAACTAAAGGTGGCTCTAAATTGTTCTTCGTTTTCCCATTTTTTGAAAAGTAATCCAAACAAAGGTGCTCGTGGTGGGTGATATATATTTCCCCACTAATTACAAATACTCCAATTTCCAATGGTATCCTTTCTGCTCAAATAATTGAATATTCTTTGTAGAAACTAAGTCACGTAAAGCGGGAGTAAATTTGAGAGCAGGAGCGTGAGAGTGGCAAAATTATGTCATAAATAGTGAGAATTTGAGTAAGAACGCGAGCGAAGCGTGAGAGCGGGAGCGCATTCGATACATAAGATCAACATCTATTGAGAATGATTATCGGACTTAGTGTAAGAATTTGGAATATCTCCCGTCTTGATTTTATTGGTTTTTGTCCATTTCTGTCACCAAGCTAGTGTTAATTATGTCTAGGTCCAAACAGACGGTGAATGATCGAAATGGATATATTAAAATGGAGACAGTATCTTAAAATCTAAATACATTGTTTTTAAGAGGCGTATACAATTCGGTCCGGTTTAGTGCAATTTCAAATTAAATTGGAGTCAAATCGATTCTAATAATTTTTAAAAAAATTGAAATCAGAATCAAAATCGTTGAGGTTTAGAACCGAACCATAAAAAACCGGTTTAGTTCGGTTCCTCACCACTCCTCCTCTTCTTCTTCTTTTTTTTAATTAACCTTTGGAAAAAAAAAAAAAAAAAAACCTCATCACATCAATTTGGTTTATTGAAATAAATACAAATTTATACAACAAATGAACAATAATAAAACCTCTCAACCAAAAAATAAAATATATCGTACTCTAAAAGCAAATGAGCTACTGTTATATTATTATTATTATTATTATATATATATTGTGAAACAAATATGAAATTTAGAAATAAAAAACTTTTTGAGGGTAACCTTATTTTTGTGTGTAGTCTAAAAAAAATATTGTTGTGTTCATGTATAATTTTTTGTCTTTGTGACATTCTGTATATTATATTATTGTTTATTAGTATTATCATTTACGGTTCGGTTTAGTTCCAATAAATTTGAAATCGGAATTGGAATGAGAACTTAATCATAAAAGAACAATGCGACTGATTCAATGCGGTTCCTGCCAGTTCCATGATTCCAAGTTTTTTGTCATAAAAAATAAAATTAAAAAATAAAATTAAAAAATCTATTTGATAGTATTTCTATCATTTTTTTCATCATTTCTAATTTGATCAATTTTCTCTTCTTTTCCTCCCCGTTTTTGGAACACACAACCAATTTTTCTTATTTTAATTTTGTACATATTGTATATATTTTCATGTAATTTACATCTTTGTCACCCCAAATTTTTTAAAACCTTGGGCCTCCAATCTAAAATATACTAAAAACCCCCTTCAATTCAAGCTTTTAATCATTTAAACCCAACAAGTCATGACCCGAATCCCATAATTATATCTAAATAAAGAAAATTAAGGCTTTTTCGGTGAAACTATAGAGGATAATTTTCTTATGTTCGTGTGATATATATATATATATATTTTCATAATAGTTACATTCAATTATCTCATACAAACATATCAAAAACCCATGATCACAAGAATAAGAGACCATATATTAAAATTTTATGCAGGTGTAAATATATGATACCGTTACATATATTATAAGGTAAATTACATTAACCTCCCTTGAGGTTTGGACAAATTTCATAGGTATATTTAACTTTGATCTTCTCTAAAAATGTTAAATATTTTTTATACCCTTATCTAATTTAATGGTAGTTTTTTTTTTTAAAAAAAAAAAAAAAAACTTTATAACCATTTTTTTCCCATCTTGTAAACACTAACATATATATATATTACGAGGCAAGAATTGTTAGAAGTTAGATTAGTAGATGCAGAGAGTCGAAGCCCGACACTCTAAAATTCACCGAAGACCCTAATCCACTAGGCTATCGAGGCATCTGCAAACACTAGTATATTACTCTTATCTAATTTTTTTTTTTTTTTTTTATTTGACATTTTTTCTGGATTAGTACTTATATGTTGACATGAAATAACAAAAATACCATGACCTTAATATCCTGACAAAAATATTATTATTTTTTGGTTATTGACATTTATTAGGTTTTTTTTTTTTTTTTTTTGGTTATTGACATTTGATTAGGTTTTTGTCAGGATATTAAGGTCATGGTATTTTTGTTATTTCATGTCAACATAAAAAATAAAAAATAATAATAAAAAATAATAAAAAAACCTAATCAAATGTCAATAACCAAAAAATAATAATATTTTTGTCATATTAAGGTCATGGTATTTTTGTTATTTCATGTCAACATAAAAAAATAAAAAATAAAAAATAAAAAATAAAAAACCTAATCAAATGTCAATAACCAAAAAATAATAATATTTTTGTCAGGATATTAAGGTCATGGTATTTTTGTTATTTCATGTCAACATATAAGTACTAATCCAGAAAAAATGTCAAAATATAAGGATATTAAAGTCTTTTAACACAAGAAAATAGTAACTTAGTCATTTTAAAATTTTCATTAATGGCAAAATCTCAGGAGAGGTCAGAATAATAAAGACTAAATGTTCTACCAGTGTGTAAACATCATGGGAGATCAGTGTAAGTTACCCTTTATATATATATATCCATGTTTATATTTCTTCTGGTTATGATATGCAGTTGTCAGATAAAGTATAAGTAGCTGCATACACCAAAGCCAATACACTTACATTCACGCTTAATGTATACAGCTTTCCTCTCTTATAAAAAGCGCTATGAGGAAGGAGGTTTTGTTGCCTTAAATATTTTGGGTCACTCTCTCTATTAAATTAATATGTAAATATAAATATGGTAAAAATCATAAAAGGACACATTTACTGAGTTGCAGAAGCTGATTCTTTTTTGGCATCCGAGTCTCAATACTGCTCTTTAGACACAAAGTACATAATATACAAGTTGAGAGGTATCTAAAGCTATAGATACCTCAATGCCTCCTCACCAGTGTTTGACTACAGTACACACGCTACACAGACTTCCCATGCCAGGAAAGTGGTAAATAGAATCAGCAATAGCCAGCAGGTACTACTTTTTTGCCATCATACTTTGATGTTTGTTTGTAATCAATCTTAGAAACCCTAATTGGAGAGGGGGGTCCTAAAAATTGGGCTAGGCTTGGTTATGGATAAGCAAGTGTCGGCTTGTAGTACCATGTCCTATATCTATTATCTAGCCATATATTAATTCTCTTTCTATCCAAGATCCTACCTCTCTCATATATTAGCCAAGAAGGCATGCGTGACCCACCCTATACTTAGAGTCTTAGAGCCCTTGTGGGGGAGTGGCCATTGCAAGCATGTATGTTCACACTAGGTGTCCCCTACACACAGCACACAAGTCCATATCAGCAATATGAATCTTCCCTGTAAGTGTTAAGCTACATAATTGGACAGCACAAAAATCACTGGAACACAGTTGTCCATCAATACACACACACACACACACACACACACACACACATATCCAAACATTATGTCCTTTTCTTTTTTTTGAATAATTACTCTACTCTACACACTACACAGTAATACCAAATGTTGTGCAATCTCCTGTCTTCTTCTCCAAATAGCATTCCAAATAAGCAGGACCAAATTTCAATACTATAACATCCCATATGGAAGGAACGCATGTTTTGAGAAGGTTTAGTTGAGTGGTCAAGAGGCCAAATACCTCCTATCCAAACAACAACTCCACAGGGTCCCATCCACTTCATCCATCATTCTAATTCTGTAGATTTTTCAATTCTCTTTACTTCCAAAATGCTCATCACAACACAATTATCATCAACAGGTGTCCCAAATTATCAATATTCACTTGTTCATGTTTTCACGTAAATTTTACTAAGCTACCGTGTACATTCATAGGACTCGCTACTCACTAGATAGCAAAACAGTTGCAAAAGCTTGTATGCATGGAATCATATTGTTGACTTCTAAGATTGTAGAGACAATAGATCAAGGAAAACTATCTATTTCAAGGTAGATTATTGGCCTATAGAATATCTACTGGGGCTAGGTTTAAGTTGGCACACGGCAAAGTTCTCTGGACCACAAAGGAATGGGACATGGATGGATCCACACAAATGAAATGTTAGCAAGATAAGCACTCGCATGTATGGTGTACCATCCAGACAATTTAACAAACAATCAAGCAGACACGTGCATTACTTTTCTTCTTTTTCTATTTCTTCCTTTAATTTGTCTATGCAATGCCAATAACAATATTTGGCAAAAGTTTGAAAGAGAGAAACTACTTTAAATACACAATGGGAAGTTTGTAAGGTAACGGCACCACAAAAAGGTACCACAATCTTTAAACAGTGAACTTGATTTGTTCTAACAAGTAACATATGCAAAATTCCTGAAAATAAGACCCACCATCTTTCTGACTTGTCTTTTCTATAAATCAAGGACAAAGTTATTTCGAAAGCCAATAAATAATAAGAAATAATGTACAAGCTGCAATGACGGCAGACAGAATGAGAGTATCTCTTGATCGCTTTCTCCTAATTGAACCTGTAACCACAGCAAAAAGATTAATGAAAACTAATTTTAAAGAAGGGGAACTCAGTCAAATAATGGCTTCAAGAAATTACCAAGTAAACCACGTATAATAGGAAATTTATCGCTTAGTAGCTTCACTTTCCCTTGAACATCACCAAAAAAAGCCCTCTGTGAACCCAAGGCTGCCCTTGTAGATTGAGCTTGACTAATCACATCATCCATCTGCATAGAAGTAAACTCAACACCGTGTTTAAATAACAAAAAGAAAAAACTTCTCACAGAGATTAGCAGCGAATCAAGTAAAGTGCAATTGTTGCTTTCAAGAATGATGCGAAAAGGTCCCTCCTCTCCCTCTAGATCAATTCACTAAATTTGTCAACTTTATCAATCAATTACGTCTGAATTTTTCTTTCCTCCTTTTTCTTTTTTCTTTCTCTCTTTTGTAGATGAATCAAAATTTTCCAAACTTTGTTTCACAAATCAGTTAACAGCTTTTCAAAATGATTATTTATAAATAACACAACATACACTAATTTTTTTCATTTTTCCAAACCACTCTATTAACCAGGCCAAACCTTTTACAAGAATGATCTGATTAGAGCAAACATAACTTAACCTAGTAAACTGGTTTGTGCAGGTTAGACTAGTAAATAATAATATCAACACCAGCTTGATTCTTACTTCTTTCCTTAAAAAGGCATGACAATCTGAGGCAAGATCAAATTACATTTAGTGTAGAAATTTCTATTCAAACACCCATAAATTATTTTCTGGACAATTCATCTTTTGTCAACCTCAACATTGGATTAAATGTCAATACTATTCTGTGGTTCATTCAAAAACACAAGTTGATCAAATATGCAGAACTATTATTACATTGACATCACATTATAATTATAGTTCTATTTTAACACTTTATTGATAGAAAAATAGGCTTTTGAATCAGATACCTACCATATCCGATCAACTTGGTATTTGGTGTGCATGATCACAATAAAAATATTGAATCTAATGGTTAGTTTGACAATATTTGAGTCCTACAGATATCTATTATTACACAAGGTGACTTCCTATTATGCCTCTTTAAATTAGTCTAGTTATCTCGCTGCATGTAATGATTGGGATGGGATCAGGTAAAATTGGTAACAGTCTAAGCCCGCCAAAGTAGAACCCCTCATTAAACTCTTAACACATATAAGCTATGTCACATTGACTGAGCTATTACTTTTAGGTATTGGGTATGTGAAATATCAGTAAACTTCAAATTAGTTGTAATATTATATTTAAACACATTATTTCTAAAAAATTAAACAAATTTATTCAATTTAAAAGTACACCTAGAGAAGGAAAGGTGTCCGTTTATCTTTTTGTTTGGTTGGGTGAAAGGAGTAAAAAGAGGTGACACCTCTCTATTATTTGGTAATCTGGAAGGAAAGAAGAAATGATGAGGAGTAATAATGTCGCATTATAATATATAAATACTTATCCTTCTCTTCCCTCCTCTCTTCCGTCCAATTCTGGAGGGATGAAAAATGGTGGGGAAGATGGCTCATACATCTATTCCTTCCCTCAAAATCTCCCTTGCACCAAACAATGTAGACTTGTTCCATCCATCCTCTCTTTCCTCCCTCCCCTTCCTTCACTCCTACCAAATGCAGCATTAATAATGTTATGAGATTATGCAAGCATATACTAGTCTTAAACATTTTTACCATGTGGACTATCTGTTTACATCAATTGCCTCCAGGTGGTGTTATGTTGTTTGTGTGATCAGCTTTATGTGATTAGTCACAAATATTGAAACCATGTTTTTCAACAGTACAATGATAACATTATGGAAGTTCAACAAAAAAAGCAACTTAACAAATATATAATGGAAATATATCAAAGAGCAGTGAACTGAGTGAAGTATTACATGAGCAATGCTTCCATGTATGGCAAAAAAAGCATCTTAACAAATATATAATGGAAATAGATCTAAGAGCAGTGAACTGAGTGAAGTATTACATGAGCAATGCTTCCATGTATGGCAGCTCTCTCCCGTAGTAACTGCATTCTTGGAGACATACTACCAGATGCCTGCATAAAGGCGGATCTTAGCTTTAAGAAACAACAGTGGTGGTAATAATAAAAGTTTAATAAAATCTCGCTCACCTTGTACTCACTGATATCATCTCTTACAGAACTGAGAAGCTCAGCATGTTCTCTCATTGAGTTTATATTCCCCTTGGTTCGTCTAAATTCCTAAAAGAAAAACATGATATTTGGTCAGTGGCCAAAAGGAAAAATCCAACTACTTAGTTAAGGAAATACAAATGCCTATACAGCAGTAAAAGGTTAGTGTGCAGGCAGCATAGTTGAGGGTTTCTAGCTCCTCCAAGAAATTGTACTGAGATAGAACTACAAGAAACACTCTTAAAAACTACCAGACTAACATCAGCATATTGTGAGATCGAACTTCCAAATATCAAATAAATATACACAAAATAGTCTTAGCAATAAGATGTAATTCAGGATCCTAGGTTGGGCTAGGACTTTAGAGTGAAATGCTGCTGGGAAAATACCAAACTAACCTTATGAAGCAGAAAATAATGTATTTCCAGGGCCTATGCTGGTTCTAGAGAAGCAAAAGCCAAACATTTCTTGTACTTTCTTCATGACAAAAAATAGGCAACTGTGAAATTTCTATGAGCATTTCTTGAGTGCCCAAAATATATCCAATTCCCATCATTAAGCTCACTATATAAATCTACGCGTATTATATACTTCCCAAGCCCATGAAAGAGCATGCTCATTTGGGAAGGGCTAAATTTAATAAATGAGGAATTACCAACCCATCAGATCTGCAGAGCATTTATAAAAACAAAACAGACGTTTATGCTCTCCAAAACAAAACAAAAACAAAAAAACATGAGATTGTACGCTGCCATGTTCAAAATAATATTTTTTATAACTCAGCGAGCACAAATTTCTTCTGTGGATAAGAAGTAATTTATAAAATTATTTGCTGTAACAAAGCAAATGAAAACAATTATTAGTTTTGCGCATTACAAGAAATGCAAGTATATTGATCATACAAATCTTTACTTTTTATGAGGGCACGGCCACATGGGACCAGAAAAACAACTAACACTGATCTAAAATACTCATATGGACACCAAACTTCACAAAATAAATTTAGACCCTTCTAGGCCCAAGCCATGAGCAAAAAGTAAGGAACAGGAGCAAAAGGGGCAAGAAAACAAATGACCGAGCTGCACAGAAACTGCTCATTCAGGAATATTTTGCAAGATAGAAACCTGAGTTGGACATAAGACCAGATTGCAGGGCCAAATATATTTCCAGCTGAGCTAGGGATTACTCTTTTTCAGTTCAAGGTCTATATAGGAAAAAATAGGTCAACTAGGAAACCTGCCCCACAGCTAAGTGAGACGGATTCTGGACTTACATTTTCCCCCACAGCCAAGTGAGAAAGGTTTTGGATTTGCATAATGCCATAATCAGAGTTGGTCTACAAGGGGGTGTAACTTTAGAACTATTCTCAGCTTCAGTTAATTCAGGTATTACCGTATTACAAGTTTAAACAAGTTTTAGCAATTTGTTTCCATTATGGTGCTCTAGTATAAATGCAGAACTACTGAAGAGTCAAGTCCCAAGTTGTAAAAACTAAAAACCAATCCAACACCATAGAAGACAAATATGGTTCTTTCAAACTACAACTAGTAGGATTATAGCATTAGCAATATTTAGCATTTTTAGTCTTCTATTTAAAAGGAGATAACTATATTTATGGTGCACTTTCTAATTTAGTATTCCAAAATGATATTGTTCAGTTAGCAGATACAGCACATGATGATTTCCTTTTATTATTTCAAAAATCAACAAGGAAAACATGTAGAAAATTTTCCATTGCATCTTTATGTATCATATCAAAGAATTTTGAAGAGACACGTGTTTCCAGAAGAGTTGTATGAGGCACAGTCATTGCCCAATTAATAGCATCAAGGAAATAAATAGAAGCTTTACACACCAGTTCACTAGTTCTAATTCACTACTACGGTACACCAGTGGCTTCAGCAAAGCCTGCTCATTAATGTAAATTGTGACTGCATTGTGTAATAATTTGATATTAGCAATTAATAACTATTGATGCAAAGTAAAAAAAAAAAAGTTCAAAGGTAAGAGCTGCACTGGAAATTATGAGCATTAGATCATCGAACATGCAACGTGTAAATAAGTTTAAGAAGTTCCTTAGTAGATTATGAAGTGAAAAAAATTTTCTGAACTGGCAAATGTTCAGGATAACGAGATATCACCAAAATAGGAATTGCACAACAATGGAATTGAACCTGGGTAAACTCGTGAAGTATGTCCCTGTGCCTTGCAAGCTTTTGGGTAACTGAAGTAGTAGGTGCAGCAGATGCAGCACATCGACTCATAGCATCATTGGTATCCAGTAATTTCTCAAGCAAAGATTGAATTTCCATTTCCATGGACTTCCATGACCTGCCGGATCCAACAGTTGGTGACCCGCTATCGACATAACCTGAACCCATATATATAATCAGAAGAAAGGCAGAAAGCCTTGCCAAATGTGGAAGATGTGAACCAGTAATAACCCATAAGCTACATCGTTGTGTTGCTGCATTTTGCTCCACTTGACTTATAAATTTAGCAGCAGTTAATTAAAAGCTACCCAAAATTATGATAATAATATCCTTATCAGTTGATTGCAAAATCAACAAAAAACACATCAAAATGTTTTAGTTACAGCTAGTAAACAGGAAAAACAATTCTGCATCTGCAAACAACATAAACTCATAGTTATAACTAAGGATCAAATTTACGCCAATGTCTATCATGTGGTCTGGATTAACCATGGTATAAGTGGTCAAGATGAGAGAAAAAAAAATGTTTTCAAGGCTAAATAGTAATTCATTACATCTAAAATTTTAGATATGTATCATTTCATGATTACTGTGTCAATATGTATTATTTAAAAATCCTAAATCAAATTGCCAATGTGTTCATTTTTCTAGGATTTTTGCTTTTTCTTATTTTAAAAGATTTGGAGAATGTTATTGTAAATAGATCACTATTTAGTTTCCGCTAAATGATGTTTTATTTTTCTCAGCTGACATGTGGATTCAAGGTTTAGGTTTTGGTTCGAGCATTTTAGGTCCTTCCTCTACTTTCTTTTGCTTCGCAACATCACAAGGGCACCTGCCCCATGGTCCTTGCACACACTATTTCTAAGTAAAAAGAGGAATCTGGTTGGTAAAAATCTAAAATTTGTCGAAATGGATCCAGATAATGATTAGGTTGTTTGTATTGGATAGGCAAATCTTCTTGGTTTCACACTTAAAGAACAACTTCAGAATTAAGGAAGAGGTGATCAGTGTATTCCCCTGCCTTCTTCCACATAAAACACATGTTAATAGAAAGAACCTTGAAATTTATTACTTATGCAAGTAAATATCCAAGTGGAAGCAAATAGGCATTAGGTCAAGAGCACTTGGAGGATGCCTTATGAATACGATAGTTTGGGACATGTCAAAGCAGATGGTAGTGCAAACTTATCATCTAAGAAAACATTTATTGTGGAACTTATCAAATATATATATATATATATATATATATATATATTGTGGAATAAGAAATGGATTCATAACTACATTCAAAATTTTCTAGTGGCATCTTTCAAATGGTTGGATAATGCATTCAGAGTTTACATGAAGGCTCCTTTAGATTGGAAAGGAACCTCGATGAGGGCTTTATGGTACCTCGTTTCAACCCTTTCAAACAGAAAATTGAAGAACAAAAAAATTAAGGCGTGCTTGGAATAACGTGATTTGACAGAATTTGGATTTTGCAATAGAATTCCGATTGTTGGAATGGATTGAGTAGACAATGGGATAAGATTTAAAGGGTTTCAAATATTAAAATGTAGTATTTTTAAATCTCATGAAAATGGTCAGGTTTCTGGCGTTTGGAATTAAGTAAACCAATTTGCAGTTTATCCAACTTTATCCCCATTTTAGCATCTTAAATTCTAGCTCATTTCAAATCCTTTGAAATTCCTTCAACTTTTTGACGTCCAATTCCCAAAAGGTTTTGGTTACAAAGTAAAAAGAATTTCCAATTTCTCCTCTTTTGCATCTAAGTCAAAATGAAAGGTCATTACTTCCCCATGTGTTTTCTTTATAGTCAAAGCTTCCAAGTAGATTACTAACTACGAATGCTTTTACGAAGTTTCATAACCCAAAAGAGACCTTCAAAAGTGAAGAATAAAGTAAAGTAATTTTTTCCTTATAAGCAATGCAATTATAGAAACGTCATGCGCATGTGTGTGTGTATAAGGAATATATATATATTGGGAATTCGGGGTCAGCAGTTCAATTCAGTAAGATCTAGACAAATCACAACAATGTCAATTACCAGGGACAATTTCTAACTCTTGGCTTAGTTGTTGTAAATATAACAGAATAAGATCTAAGATTCAGAAGTAAACATACAAATAACATATATAGAGAGAGAAAAAAAACCTCCTTGAGTCAATCTGGCGCCCAGTTTAGCATAGGAAGAGAGCTTGACGTCGAGATCGCCCTCGATCTTGCGAGCCTCCTTCCTGAGTTCCTCCCAACCCGACTCCTGTAACAACTCCGCCATTCCCACCCGGATCTCGATGGATCCGAACCTTTAACTCCTCCTTTATCCTCTTCGTACTCAAGTGTTCTTTGCTCTATTATTTCTACTTCTCTTCTCTACATCTACATGAAGAGACGGTTATTTTTTCTGTTATTACAGTTGGAACCAAATGCCCATTCAATCGCACTGCTCTGCACACCTGCTTAGCTTCTTTCCTCTGTTTTCGATCGGCTTTACATACGCGGAGAGACATTTGAGATTTGGGATCCTCTGGGTTAAATTACCATTTGTAACCCTTGTTTTGTTTTTTCAATATAGAATTATTTATTTATTGCAAATTATTCAGGCATACACTTTTTTTTTTATTTAAAAATCCGTACATTATTCTCTCAAAGCAGCCACGTCTAATTATTATTTATTTTTTTCCTCTAATTATTATTATTATATATTTTTTTTTATCTACATATCTAAATTTAACAATTGAAAAATAAATCATGTTATCACTAGTTAACTTACTAAATGTGTTATAGTTTTATGTACAATTTTCTTCTAAAAAAAAATATGATTCAAAAGGAAAATAATTTTCAAAATGTAACTTTTAAATGTATTAAAATGTATTAAAGTAGATATTTAGTATAGGAAAATTCACTTATCATCTAAGTTTGAAAAAAATTAGGTTTTCTTTGATTTTCAATTCAATTAAGCATACATTTAAAAAAAAAAAAAAATCAATTAAAAATTATTATTATAGTAGAAATTGATTTGCTTTCAATTTAATGTTTTGTGAGATGGATTTTTTTTCATTGTTATAAAGTTTGCTTCAAACTCAAATACTTTTATCCCTAATCACATAAAAAGTAAAATCTAACTAATAATAGGTCAGATGTTATAGAGAATGAAAATCATGTTATCAAAAATATTAGAATTAAGAATTCTTTGATACATGGACTCTTTTGTAATTAAATTAAAAAATAAAAAGAAAGAAAGAAAAGAAAGTGGAGCGACAATTATATATATATATATATTTATATATATATTGAAAGATAAAAGGTAATTGAATAAATAGAAAATATGTACAGACATAAAGTTAGCCTGAGGAGGCTAGGACATACGAATTACAAAAAAGAACCCAACCCAAATAGAAGAACAAAACCCAGCCCATAAGAGGCCCAACATGACAGTTAGTCCCAAAGCAAGCAAACATGACAGTTAATCCCACCACAATCCGGTAAAACAGCCATTGGGTAGCAGCAAGGTGGAGCTGAGATGATCTTCTACACCAATCATCCATATTTTCTAAACAAGGGAGAAGATATGTAAATAAGATTCCTTAGAAATATACTTTATTAAAAAGATAAATATACATACTTTCCTAAATTACTATTTTTAGTAGAAACATTTTTCTTCCGATAATGAGGCCCGATATAAAATACGACCTATTCGAACCTCAAAAATGCCTAAAATAGACTTTAAAATGAAAATTTGAAACTCAAAATTATAGAATGGTTTCAAAAGTCCGTAATTGTTCAAAGGAACTAAGATTTATGGGGTAATTGCCCTTTTATAGTGAGAATTGTGGTTCTTACTCAGAGAATCCTTGGGATTAGTTTTGATCGATCCAAATGGATTTCGATCAATTGAGATGAGCTTTGACAGATCGAAATAGAAGATGAAAAGCCATAAATTCACACAATCAATCGAACTGGGTTTCGATCGATCAAAACTTCATTGAAAATGCAACAAATAATGGAAAGAGTAAACTAAATAGGTGTAGCAAATAGGATCCGGCAACGAAAGTTTAGCATTCAAGAACTTTGTAAATAAGGGAGTTCGCTGAAATTCTTTTCTTCTTGAAGATTCTGCGATTTCTTTCTACCCATATGTTGTAGACAAGTGATGTAAATGTCAGTTATGAGATATGAAATCCAGTATTTAATTTATAGTTCTATCAGATTTAATTGTTGTAGTTTTATATTATGCTCTGGTATTTAAAGTTAAAACTATTATAATGATTTTTTTTTCCCCTCTTTGCAGAGTAATTTAATATCATTGTTAGTATTACGACATCATTGTTGTAGGTAAATTGAATATTGTTATTCTTAATCGTAATGATTGAGCGGTGTCTCGAATATTGTTGTTCGGAAACGCAATACACTGATAGAGCGCAAACTCGAATATTGTTATTCTGAAGCGGTTGTATGTCGATGAGAGCTAGTTTGGGTTTGTTAATACTCCTTTCAATGTTTTTGTAATGAAGCAGGCAACGCTTTTATTTCGGTACATGATAAAATACCATAAAGCAGAATACTACTAGTTTGTAACGTATAATGTATAATAAGGTTGGAGTTGGGATAATATGACTGGAGTATGCGTCCAACAGAGAATTTTGGAAACATAAACACCACACAAGAAGTAGAAAGTTAAGTAGAATAATATATACTAAACTCTTTAAAAGTCGGGGTAATATTTTATAAAAAAAAATTTAAATTTTTAATTGAAAAGTGATTCAAACTATGCCACTCATGAAAATTGCATTTTGTAAAAACATGAGCATGTCTCAGATTGGTCTTTAATTTTTTTCAACCAGATCTCTAACTTAGTTCAGAAAAACATGCGACTACCTCTCGAACTAAACTTATAGTATTAATGAACGGTTTGGGTAAGATTCTAAACAATATAAAGGGTAGCCCTAGCTGAGAGACGTAATTCACTTTTAAAAAATAGAAAAACACTTCTTTTTCTTTTCTTTTTTTTTCTTTTCGTTTTTTTTTTTTTTTTTTTGAATGAATAGGTCTTATTCCCTTATGTGATAATTACATTTCTCATCCATTAAATGTCTGGGATCCATTATGAAAGACACTGGTTTGATTTAGGTTCTCAAATTAACTACTTCATGGAGATTCTTTGCAATGCCTTCTTGAAGATATTACATTACAGAAGTCACGCAATGTGTAAATGATGAGTGATGGTTGTCAATAATATTAATGAGAGGATGAAAGGTTGAAAAATATTGCTTTCTAGAATGAATAAAATTTATTTTATCAAGAAATATTTAAGTGATTAGGGATTATATGATCTGACTAATCACAAGCTATCACGTAATTAAATATATAACTTTATTTAATATATTAATTACTTGTGATTAAATGAAAATAGATGATCTCTAACCATCTAATAATTTTTTATATATATCTTATCGTGTTACAAACACACGTACACACATAGATATTATAAACTTTAATTGAAAACCCATACACCAATACGGACTCTTTAGTGATAGACCGATAGTTCAACACTCTTTTACTAATTTCAGATTCGTAAAGGAACTCATGTCTCTTTATGGTTGAACGAAAATTAAAGTGTTGTCGTTGGCCTAATCACACGCAGCACACTATCATTCTAGCCCAATAAAAATAAATAAAAATGCAATAGAAGATATGATTTCGGCTTCAATTAATTAAATCTTTATCACCTAAGTAAAAATATTAAGTGATGATACTTGCACCGAATCAAATGATCTATTTCCCTGACCGAATCTATGTGGCAGAATACATGGACTCTATTAATTAATGTATATTTAAAAGATATTTGGGAATGCACAAGTTTTTAGACAAAATTACCCTTAGATTTTCAGCATATTTCTCATCATTTCCTATTCCCAAAACCTCCATAGAAGAAGCACCCCAGCGGACGACTTTATCAACCAAATCAAGCCCTAAACTCAAGCTGGTAGTGGGGACTTTTAGCATATGGGGCGGTGGCGGTGGCTTCTTGTTTCACTGGGGTGCCATAGACTACGCCGGTGGTTATGTAATTAATCTTTTTTCAGAGAATAGTTTGTTTTAAGCAGCATGCTCGTCCATAACTATATACTTTATATGAAAAATTATTGATTTTTAAATAAAGTCACTTAAAATAATTGAATTGAATATGTATATATATAAGGAGGTTGGTTCCAGATCGACGAAAAGGAACAATGTGTTACTCATGGCAGGTTTCAAAGGTGGAGATCCATACAATTCATACAGTGCCAATATCGACCCCTCCATTGTTGTCCTCACATATGCTTAAACACCAAGAAGTTGTCAGTATATTCGGTAGGATGATAGTCGTTTATATATGTATATATGGGTACTATAAAATAGAAAGATAAAAGAGGTGAAAGAAGAATAATTTTGCCCAACAGTGTCCCCATATTTTGAAAGGGTACTTTTGTCTAAAAATATTTGTGCCTTTAATGCCTTATTAACTTAATAGAAACACTAACACAAATGGTAAATTTTATCGACTAGTGCCACATAGATTCTATCAAAGTAATCGGTCAAATTCATTCGTGTAAAATTCATTTTTCAAAAATATTTTACTTTAGTAAGTGTATTAATATTTAATTAGTTAGTAATATCATATCATTAATATAATCGAGGCAATAAAATATTTATGATAAAGTGCAAAGTACTCCTTGTCATTCAAAAAGCCTCCTTAAAGATTGAAATATCTAAAATTTATTTAAGAATAAAAAATTAAAAAAAAAACTTATTACAGGATGAGGGAGAAATTATTAAGAATATTTTAGAATTTTTATTTTTAAAAAAATTTATGAATAATTTTCATTAACAGTATTAATGAATAATTTGTAAATATTTTCAGATGCTAGAGACTTATATGTACATAATAAATAATATGGATATTTTTTAAAAAATATTTTTATGATTTTATATATATATATATATATATATATATATATATATATATATATATATATGTATTAATTTTACTATTTATCCTATATTGCCAAAAAAAATTAATAACAATAATAAAATTATATATATATATATATATATATATATGTATTAATTTTACTATTTATCCTATATTGCCAAAAAAAAATTAATAATAATAATAGAATAAAATTATAGCAACTATTAGCATACCTTACACAATTCAAAAGAAATTGTACGATCAGTGCAACATAGATCCATATACCTGTACGTCTTCACTTTCAAGTACGACTCACGTGTTTGACAGTGGGTGAGACTTCATCTTCATTCAAAACAATATATCTATATATATATATTTATATATTTATATTTATATATATAGACACACACACACTCGCTCGACTTTGAAAAAGATCGAACACGATAAAAACTTATTCCATTCATTATCGTTTTAAATAATGTGATGTATATGGGAATTCAAATAATTTGACGGGTTCAAGAAGGAGGCTTCTAAACCAAGAAGGTTAGGTAGACAAATATATTATAAATTA